AATAAACTTTGATAGCTAGATTGGAGTTTGGTTCTATTGTTAATTTGAGATCGTAAATTGCAAATAGATCGATATGCCGTACTTCAATAACGGGAAAGAGCAAAACCTTGGACGTTACAGTCAGCCCAGTCTGTAATCAAACAGCCCTAACAGACCATTCTGGTAAATAAATTACAGAACAAGATCGCAGTATTGGATTCCTAACGTAATTACAGAAGGGAATAGATCTGAAGTGATTTAGGATGATCTGGAAAAAGCGGAGGCCATGAAAAAGTATTTCGGGACAGTTTCTATCCAGGAACTTCTTGATCAAGAAATAGACCCAAAAAGGTCAGAAAACCGTCTCCTCACTGAGAAACTCAATCAAGACGGTGTACTTAACGCCCTTAGCATTTTAGACACGGAAACATCAACAGAACGGAGGTGCTAAATCCTAAAACCTTGCGATAAATTTCACAATATATTGCTGCACCACTGATTGTAATATTCAATATGTCATTTGACCAAGGTGAGTTACCTACTGACTTGAAGAATGCAGTTGTCACTCCAATACGCAAAATAGAACCGAGAAAACTTCTATCAAACCACAGACCTGTCAGCCTCACCAGTAACGTAGTTAAAATACTGGAAATGATAGTCAAAAAGACTATAATGACACCCGTGGAAGTCAAAAGCTTGTTAAACAATGAACAATACGGTTTCCGAAAAGGTTTGTCTCGCACAGCGTATAAAAATATTCATAACTCATTCTCAAATAACAGTCTGTCGTATGAGTCACGTTAGCTTACAATCAGTATGAAATTGCTACAGAAGATACAGTCTCCACTATAGTATGTTACTCAGTTAGGTTGATATTTTATACGGTACATTGGTAATATGGTGAATAACACTTCTCACATATGAATGTATTTCATATTAGTTAAATTCGTATTGTCGCGCTTCATGGAGGTTGCGTTGGGATGTGCAACTAATGGTAGAGAATAAATTCACGTAAATTTGAGAGCTTCTGTAAGCCGCAACGTTATATCCCTCTGGAACAACTGAGGCATTAACGATGGGGCGGTTCAAAGTCACTCGTTCCGCATGTGTTTTTGGTGGCATAACTCGATGGGGGCTGGAAACGGAGCCTTAATTCTGACAAAAACCCTAAACAACTCACTAGATCTGAGTATATTTTAGAGTTTGTGACTGCACAATTATGACAAGGCCTGTAAGGCCGAGCCATGCCATTCGATGAATTGAATTGAGTCAGTGTTCTAGCGTTCACCATTATTGATCTCCTACTGTTATATGTTGAAAGTCAATTTTCCCAGTTATCTCATGCTCAGTTTTGAGAATTGTGGTTAGGACCAATACCACTACAAATCTATCCCTGTAATCGAGAGTGTAGTCACACTCTAGCAGTTGGCGTGTGAGACGAATTCGAACATCTACTCTTATCTTGTCTGGGGTATTTATGTTTAGGAAGATAAAAATGCAATATACAAGGTACCAAAATTGGTTTCGATTCATTTAGTGATTTTTTATCGGTTAATGAAAGACAAAAGTGTTCACTAAATAGCTCCATAACAAGTTTAGGATCCCCGTCTACTCGATCGTCATTATTAAATGTTTCCTCTTTTCAGTTTAAAATGTTTACGCTTATTTTGGAGGATTTTGAGGAGTGCGGAGGGGTCATAACGTTCCATAGCACGTTTACCCTATGCGAATGTTTTTGTGCGTATTACCTCTGCCTGAACGAATATTTCTGTCATTGTAACTAAAGAGGGAAAGTTATTAAGGTTGTGGAATCGAGTACAATGTCTTTAAAGACGTCTTTATCTAGAGATCGGTATATACAGATCTTTAGAAAACCTAGGTCTTCTGTATTCTAGAGGTACAATATTTTTAGTGTTGTGATAGGATATGTTAGTCAGTTTGTAGGTATTGCTTACAGTAAAGAGGGTTCCCTGATCAGTGCTTCTTGATTTTTTTCAATCGACCTTGTGGTAGATTCTACGTATTGCTACATTTTTACGACTACCGGTTATGGTTTTTATATTAAGGCTGCATGTGACAAGGTTATGAACGCTACCTGGAAACGTCTTTCCGATATGCACAGTATTGGAGTTGAGGCCACTGGTAAAGACTAAGTCTATTACATTTTGATATCTGGCGGGGCTACTGACATACTGATTCGAATGTCTTTCCTTGTAGCAGTGAAGCAACTAATTGAGGCTCTAGACAATGGAAACAAATGGATGTTGTCTACATAGACTTCAGCGAAGCATTTCACACGGTACCAACAAATAGACTGCTCTTAAAGTTAAAAAAATTAGGTATTGCCAGACCCCACTTAGAATGGCTTAAGGATCTCCTTCTAGGTCGTATACAGAAAGTAATAATAAATTCCAAATGCTTCACTTGGGATATGGAAAGGCTTTGTCCTAGATTCTTTACTTTTTGTACTGTATGTAAATGAACTTCCAGGCATCGTTGAGTCCCCAGTTCTACTATACATTGATGGTGTAAGAAATCTGGCGAGAAATATCGGGAGACACAGATGCATGCGCACCTCAGCAGACTTAAATATTCTGATTAACTAATGCAAAAGGCGGCTTATGTCTATCATCACGGGCAAGTGTGTCTACATGCATTTTTAGATACGAAGGTAAATAGATACAGCACAGGGAAGTGCCTGTGCCCGTGAATCGGTCTCACAAGGATTTTAGGATGACAGTGAGTAATAACCTTAAAACCACGGTCCACTGCTAGGAAATTGCAGCTAATGGGCTTAGAACCCTCCGGGCTTCAAGACGGATATTCTCCTAGTTAAATACTGCCACGTTCACTACAGTATACACAACGTCAGTGACAACTAAGCTTGATTACTACGTGCAGGCAGCAAGTCCCTGTTTAAAAGGTGATTCAGATATCCTGGAAAAAGTACAAGGGCAGCTAAATGTGTAATGCAAAAAACTTCAGGGTTTACCATAGAAAGAACGGCTTCAAAAACAAAACCAATTTACTCTGTCCTATCACAGATTAAGAGGTGATCTGATTTTAAAGTAAAGAATACTAGGAAATCGTTTGATACCTAACAAATTCTTTCTCTGCTTTACCACTAGATCAAAATATCTCAGGGGACATAGCAGGCGATTAGAAATGTAAAGAACGAACAAAATACACGTGTCATAGAGGTTTTCACACAGAGTGATCATTTCTTGAAACCTGTTACCTGAAGCAGTGGTATCCGCACCCTCAATTAACTCATTTAAGACCAGGCACTTGTAGTGGCATTAGACCATAACCACACGATCTTCAAAGCTGAACACAAGACTACTTATAAAATAGATATTCAATATTTAACACGGAGAAATATCTAACGATGGAAAAGGCGGGAACAACCAGTTGAATGAACTGGAGTTAATCGGGTGGCATGGCTCGGCCATGTAGGCGTGGTCCCTGCGGAATATTACCTTATATCTTTTATTCAAATTAAATATATTGTTCTCTCTCTAGCCCAAGCTTGTTCTTCATCATGTATTAGTAGTTGCTACAACACAGTGAGTTGGTGTAGACGATGACGTGACTTCCACGTAATATCTTATAGATTAGGCAGTTATATCATGACAAATCTACAATTTTAGGATTAGGTCTATTATTAGAGCAGTACTAATATCATTGTAGACCATAACTCTACACACTTACAGAAGCATAGACGGAAAGGAATAACAGAGGCCATAGGCCTTCCGTCCTTACCACACAAATCCGTAATCTTAATCCTAGTCTGAATATATTTGAGTAAATTCGGACGCTTCACTTCAACCTGAAGTTCGTGCTGATGAAGCCATTAAAAAAACGGTGAAGGCTCCAAGAACGAGCAATTCAGCTTAGAGAACAAAGCTTCACCAAAATCATCCACTGATCAACAAATCTTCTCTACCATCTATGAAATAATATGATTTTCTTAAAATATAGACAACAAATCAAGTAATCTACAATTACGGATAACAGAACCTTGCTTATTAGGTCAGTATTGAAAAGGCTGGTAAATAACGAGTCAAGATATTCAAAGCTTTTCTTTTTCGTTGTTCTCAGGATATTATGGCCTCCAAATAACTCTCAAGTCTTACGCTGACTGTAACAGAAATACCTTTCAAGCAAACATTGCAATGATAACATTGAAGAACATTTTTTGGCCAGTTTGACGGAAGAACTTTCTATTTAATCTACAACAGTTTCCTTCGTCCTCATTTAAAGTACGGAAACATAGTATTTCTTCCCTCACTCCTAAAGGACAGGGCGCTCTGGAAGGTATCGAATGGCGAGCCACGAAATCAGTTCGGGAATTCAGATTCAAGCCTTATGAAGAGCACCTGCAATCGCTAAAACTTTACCCATTAGAGTACAGGCATCTTAGAGGTGACCTTTCAATGGCCTAAGCTATTCTTTACTTTTCTGAACATCCCCTTAAACACCTATCTATGTTTAGCTTCAACACAAACCTAAGAGTTAACATCCAGAAACTGGAGACACAACACGACAGAACGGACTGTAGACACGACTTCCACTTCTTAAGAGTAGTCAAATGCTGGAGTTCGCTGCCGGCCGAGCTAATCCAGGCGGCTACCCAGGAGTTCATTAAGAGAAAACCTGTCATATTCTTAAGGACTAAGGACAGTGTCTTACTATGACATCAACTGCTTTTTGCTCTTTTGTCGTCAACATACTTATGTTTCTGCCTCAAAGTATTGGTGATCCACTTCTACTAGACACGGAAACCCGTCAAGCGAAAGCTTCTTCTATTCCGTCCACAGCCAATTGAACCATTTGAATTGCATTAGAATCAGTTCTTTTTATCCTCTAGACTATCTTCACTGAACGAAACAATTGAAACCATACTTTAGCACAAAGATACAAACATCAGGAAATCAACTGTTTTTTACACATCGGTTATGAAGATATCAATTAATTGATATTGAAAACTGAGTTGGGGTTTATTCATATCACATGACCCAACAACCTTGGTACTTGTTTAACTTGAAATTTTTATGATGAGTGGTACAAGACCGCATATCAGTATCACCTTTCGTAAATCAAAGAAGCCACAACTCAATGACAGTGTTAGAATCATGCGAAATAGGGGGTTGCTAAATACATCGAGAAGATTACTGCAAAAGTCAGGTAAGTGTCGATCGATTGCCTCAGTTTTGTCAGTGTTTTTCGTAAACTAACAATACTAATATATCAATCCTGACATTCATAATGAATTTTTACGCGTATGTATTGTTAGAACATAAGCTTAAGACTTTTAATTGTAGTCCAGCAATCGCTTATTTTACTAGGAATCAAAATTTGGCGAAATGTTGATGCACTTGGAAAATACTTTAGGGAATAGGTTAACATATCAAGTTAACTTGAGATCATTAGGATTGATTGAAGATAATTTTCGAGTGTGATTTCAAACAAGGTCTATCTTTTTCCAGTTGTTTCCCATAGAAGCTTCCTCTTCTGTGAGTAGAGATTGTAAGGCTTTGATTCAGTTGCTGTAAGCTATTTTGAATGCGTTGAGTTTTTCAGTACCACGAAGGAAGGCTGTAATAAACCATTGTAATGCTGTTTCTCCAGTTTTCCAGTGCTTGTTTAGCCTACGTGTCATCTTGAAAACCACTAGGTGGTGATATGAAGCTATGTCAGCTCCTCTTTCTGTTCTCATGTCTTCCATTGACCTTTCGAATATTTTAGTGATGCTAATGCATGGATTAGTGGAATAAAAGTGAATTTATGAGATTTAGAAACTTAGGATCTAAAGGAAGACAGTAGGTGCACATATGCTATTGCGAATGAGTTTGAGCCATGTCACCTCAAGTATCTAAATATTAGTCACAATAACCACTTGGACTTCAATGAGATAGTCTCCACCTACCCACCTATATGACTCAGTCAACAGTCATTACCTTCACATCTTGGTTTGACTACCCCTAGTCTTATTTCATGTGTAATTATCCACGTATCATTCAATAGCGGATTGATTAGCGTTGAGGTTAGGAATAGAGCGCTAGGCAAAGGCAGAAAATTAGTTGATAAGGTTGTGAATCCTCATCGCTTGAGGTCTTTAAGACATTTTCTACGTATGAATGACCACCGCTTACTTCGACAGGCGACATATACTGATGTAAAAGTTGTTTGAAAGAAAACTAGGGGTTGAGAATGTAAGATTTCATCCTGTATGATTTTTAACTATTGTTTTCAATATTTTGCTACCTGATCAATTGCTGTGCACCGCCAACGATTTATAAACAAACAGAACAAAACAAGACATTTTGCAAAATTTAAAGACATGGTTTAATGATTAACACTAAATCGTTTTATTTGCTTTAGTTTTATTAGCTGGCTAGTTTCATCTCACTGACTTGGATGAAGAAGAGAGTTCTTGACTCGAAACTGAGCATATAAAGTTCCGTTTGATAAATCAGGTGCCCTTAATTATAATTCAGAGAATTATCGCTGTTGTTAGCATAAAGGGTTCGTGAGAAGTTTTGGTTTTTACAGTTTATATCGCGAACTGAATTTAGTTAGATAACTTGCAAACCAATGATCTCTGAACAGCTGTCCCATCCTAGTGTAGAATTCCCCAATCGTGTACATTATTATTATTATTATTATTATTATTATTATTATTCTGCTTATCTGCCAACTTTGTTAATAAAGTAGATACCAACGAGGTTAACTGTGTGTTTTGTTTACTTTCTCCCTCTTGATTACTTGTGACTTTTATTTTCTTTGACAGTCAATCAATCTTTCACTTCAGCCACCTCTCTTCGTGCTAATAATGCTTCATTAGCGAAAAAACTAGCCGAATTGCAAGTTGAATTAAATAACCAGAAGATGGCTACACAGCAAGCGAATATTGAACTATTGAATTGTCGTATGGAAGTAGTCCGTTTACAAGCGTATAAAGAAGCCAAAGAGAGAATCAAGGTATCTTATACAAATTGATTCATTAACAAACTGTAAAAATTGTAAAAAGAACGAAATTTACCGAGTAAAATGAATTCGTCAATCTATTTTAAGGCTTCTTATCCACTGTAAATAGCATCAAATTACGAGGAATTGTCTAATTATAAATAAAGGTTTGATGTGCTTTAGTTAGTATAGTTGAGTTATGTGTCCAAAACGAAACTAAAAACCATGAAACAAAGGGATAAGATTTTCGAACGCGCATCCAGGAATGTTCATTTGGATGACAGTAAGGTCTTCACAAGTTTCATCGTTAGGCATTTAATAGTTAATGGACATAGTGCGTACGTCAGCGAAAATTCAAACCCATTTTCAAGCAACCAACGGCGATCGCTCTCCCTTCTAACATAAGTAATAGCTACCAAACATTTCCAATCTGATCTATTTTTGTGTAATATTGTTGATGCTTGCATATTAATTTAATATTGGCTCTAATTTTGTTGATAATTTGTCCAATCATTTATTTTCATTAATATTGCGTAATCCTTTTTTCTCTTAATTATGACTAATAGTAACCATAACATAACCTCCTCTCCTCCATATTACTATTTTTTTAACATGTAAATTCACATCCGTTTTAACCGTGCTAAATCATATGACTTTTGTCCAAATTCATCTGTTCATGATTTTCGGTTCCGTTTTAGAAATTTGTTTATACTTCACATAACTAAAAGTATGTCGAATATTTGTCTCTTTATTATTACATTACTTCTTGTGGATGGGAAGCATTGAAGATTGACTAATGAAGTCATTTCATCTCACAAATGTTGTTCTTCAGCTTAAAATGGTTTAGATTGTCCCGTTGTTGTTGTTGTTGTTGTTGTTGTTGATATTTTTCAGTAAAGCTCGATCAATTTTGGTTGGCATATGGGAATACTGTGCAGGTTACCTTTACATAGCTATTATGACACAAGATAATATAGAATAGATAAAATTTGGCTAGCAGTGGGATACAGGATACACGTCTTATCTTATTTGGAATGGGATAATCCGACCCGTTTCAAGTTGGATCGAATCTCATACCTGTTGCACAAGTGAGTGACTATCTAGAATAGGCAGCTAAGTGAATAACGCCACGGCGTTTAACGCTAAACGGTATCGGGTACGAGTCCCGACGTTAACATCAATTCTGGGATACAGGTACATCTAGCTGTCGAGTTTCAAACGATTCTTGTTTAGTTTAGATAAAGTTATTAAATAATTTTATATTATTTCTGTATGTAGTCATGTTCCTCCTTCTTTTTTTCAAATAATAAAATAATAATTGTTAGGCTTGTATTCTAAACGTACATGAATTATTGTGTTCACAAATTGAAATGGGAATGTCCATGATGAATTATGTGAAAGATTCAATATCGGTATTGGATAAAAATGATTCATTGGAGTTATTGTCAAATCCTACATCAAGTCTGCTTGGTGAAACAGTAGTTGATCCAAATGCATTTGATTCTGTTTGTAGGTAAGATAAAATGGTAATTGTTTATATTTCTTGCTCCGTAAGAGTTTATCATTGTTATTTGTTTCTATTAATTCTCTGACAAAGTTTATTGTAAAATACATTTTCGTCGTGAAATAGTCGGCATTAAGAGCGCTTTTAGACATAAGAGGATAGGTTTAGAGTTATTTATGGGGAATTCACTTCCAATAAATTCGGTGATAGATTACAGCCCATTGTACTTCATCTTGAATAGATGACAACAATAACTCACTGGTCCTCATAAAAAGTATGGCTAGAAAGTCGATAAAATAAACTTTTATTTGATAAATAGTTTATTTAGACTTCGAAATAGTCACATGTGATTCGTTCACCGACACTAATGATGCTACATAGAATTAGTAATTTATACGTTCTTTGTGTATTAAAGAATTAATACCCATATCATTTGTTAAGTGTGATAAATATAGTTAAATTTCGATGTGCTATTTTAGATTAATGTGAAATATTTTGAAGTGTATCACTATGCAGTAATAGACCTAATCAGGTTATATAGGGTTATTTCAGCGTAGCAGTTAATGAACCATAAACATTTTGGTGCTTTCTACTGATATGTTCGTTATGTGAAATATCACTAGAAGGGTTTTGTGAATATTAAAGATAACATTTGAACAGTCAGTCGGTCACGAACAACTTAGAACCTGAGACATGTATCCATCGGTTCAAGTTTTCACACTATATCAAAACAGAGAGATGATATTGTTAGGATAGGTTCCAGAACAGTAAGAGAGTAGCAACGCCACTATTGGTAGCAAAAAGGGTTAGAAAGAGATAATTCGAGAGGAAGGAATGAATTCACAAAATAGTAGGTATAAAATAATTCTGAAACTCATTATCTAAGGGTAAACAAAGAATAAATGCATATGCGTTATTGTGATCAGTTCTGAGCCATATTACTCAGTATCTCTAACCCTAGGCAATGATAATCTGACGAACCTCAGCTAGGTAGTCTGCAACTACCTACACGTTTCGATACTACTGTCAATGACTTCACAGACTGGATAAAAATGTGTGGGTTAATATTTTTTTCCTACAGTACTCTCGTGTTAAAATGGTTTATTATTTTTTCTCCTGAGTAATAAACTTATCAGCATACGTGAATTAACGACATTAACTGAGTGTTTAGATCATTTGACTCTCTCTATCATTGTTGTAAATAAATAAATATCAATGATGTAACTCAAAGACGAATTTGATCTAACAATATATTTCTGACATTTAAAATGCCAATTCAATAATTCGATAGGCTTCGACTGACACCTTGATAATGATTGGTCTTACTCTTTGTAATTAAAAGAACATATATTCACTTTAATCTGCTTTCTACGATGGAGCTTCTTTATTGGTAGTGACACAAATTGAAGTTGATTGCGATGATTTCTTGTATCTCTTAAATCTGGAGTTCCGAATTTTGTCACATATTTTGTACCAACTTGCGCCATTTATGGCGTAGGCGAGATATCCGTCTATCAACCAAAGGACGTGTTTACTGCGCAGCAGTTCGTTCCGTCCTACTTTATGGCAGTGAAACGTGGCCGGTAAGAGTAGAGGATATCCGTAGGTTACTAGTATTCGATCATAGGTGTCTTCGAAATATTGCTCGTATATCCTGGGACCATCGACTAAGTAATGCAGTTGTTAGGAAACGGGTACTAGGTAAGGATGGCAAATCAATTGATCAAGTGGTGAAACTTCATCAGTTGAGATGGCTGGGACACGTGTTAAGTAAGCCCAACGACCGACTGCCTCGATGTGCGATGTTCAGTGGTATAGGAGTAGGTTGGAAGAAAGCTAGGGGTGGCCAGACCAAAACATGGCACAAGTTCATGAAGTCACTGACAAGTAGACTGAGTCATATTGGTAGGTGTAGACTACCTGGTTGGGGACCGCGGGATGATATCAACAGATGGTTAGAGACCCTGAATGACATGGCTCAAAATCGTTTGCAGTGGCGCAGGTGCATACACTCTGTGTTCTCCCAAATTCTAATCTTCTGAATTCTTCATGTCCCTTTCTTTTTTTTTCTTTCCAAATTTATTTCACTGGATTATACTCCTTGAATAACATCTTCAAACCCCAATTTTTCTGATTACAGCTTATAATTTTATTACACCTAGCACTACGGGATTTGAATCGACAATTGTATCTCTGTGCTAATGTGGTGTGACAACTCAAACTGATGTACGTACGTACGAAGTTCTACGTTGTTACTGACTGACCGACTGACATATATTTTTGTCATATCTCTTGATCTCATTCATTTTTCTTAGGATTATATTCTCTTCAGCTGCTTCCTTTATTGCTACTGTTTATTATTATTTCAACTTGTTATTTTCTTCCATTGTTGTGTTGATCCGAATAATGGCGCACAACATGTCGGTGAGGATTTTGCTCTATGCTTGTGAATCCTTGCTTCTCTGAGTTGAGGATGTCAAAAAACTAAGTATTCGGTCATAATTGTCTCCAAAGAATCTTAGTGGTAACACCATTTTCGTAATGCAGAGGTTCAATAATGTGTGTTCAGATACAATGACGATACCTCACTTGGTGTTACCATATTCAAACACTAGGTTTCTTAGCTGGGACACGTTTTACAATGTATTCCCAGAAGCTTCTATGTCGTGGATTATTTGCCGACTGTGGGGAGGAGTATAAAAAGTGTGGAAATAGTCGGTTTATGCCTTGGCACTGCATTATGAAAGAAAAGGAACTTTATATGACTGGAATCTGTCCGTTCAACACAACACTCCGGTTGGAATCCCGAAGGTGGTGTAGTCCTGCGGCTTGAGGCGTGTTCAAACATGGGTCAGAATAAAATCCAAGGGCTACCCTGTTGTAGTTTTCATAAACGTTGAAGGGTGTGTCCTTACTAAAAGAAGTCCTTGCTAGTTGTATTTTTAACTAAATTGTAACTCCTGTCTTAAATTATCTTTGTTTACTTATTTTGTTTTTGCCTATGCTCTCATCCCCTACTTTATTTCTATTCAATCTTATTGTTTATTTGTATACCTTATGTCTTCAGTGCCCAATTGTACCAGAATTAGTGTATTAAATAAACTAATTTCAACTTGAATTCATCTATTTCATACTATAATAATGTTGTAGATTACTATAAATAATTTTAGATTGACATCAAATAGATTGCAGAATATCTATTGTCTGTCCATCTTATGATGGAATTCTGTCCGATATTTTTCTCCATATGACATTGTTTGCTAGTCTTTTTTTTCACTTAATTTTCTTGGTATTGGGACGGTAGCTTAGCAGTGAGTAGTGGTTAAAGCACTCAACTTTTAACGAGTGGTAGTAATCGTAGGCTCGAAATCCGTTTCATCTACTTCTATTTGCGTGGGTGGGTGGCAATGTGATGTCCGCCTCTTATGTGAACAGATATAAGTAGTATGTAGCAGGATTAGGAAATGGAATGCTTACCAGCAGAAAATTGAAATGAATAGAACAGGAAGGAAGACGGAGAGCAGTCAGAATAACAACAGAATTAAAAGAATAATGGAGTATGTAAAGGGCGATGCAAAGATTTGCAAATGAGGTATTTAATGTATGATTTTCATATTTTACAAAGGGACTGTGTGATTTTGCATAAAACAATAAATTGGTTTACCGTACCTGAGTTTTCGGTAACTACAGTAGTAATACCATTGTCCTTCAGAAAACTAAGAAATTAAACATACATGTACTTTGTAAATGAGTTACATTGAGTTAAATTAAACGAGAAATGTGAAGATTAGTTGCATTTATTCTTTGTTATTATTATTAATAATTTTATCAACATTATTATTATTATTGTTACTGTTAGAAAAGAATTTACAAAGCCTGCTCAACAGATAACAGAACAGAATGTTCGTCAACTATCTATTGTTTATCCTGAAGTTCAATCTCCATCATCATCCACTTCATTAATAACAGGTCCGGTGAAAATGGCATTCAGTCCTAACGATCACAGTATTGCTAAGAATATTAGCACTAATCATAGTAACAATAACAGATTTAATGTAAGTTATCAGTTAAAAAGAAAAAATGACTAGTAATGCAAGTTTACTTTTTACATGAAGTAACAAATTGAAAAGACAGTCAATAATATTGAAGATGTGAACTTGTCCAGCAGTTTACGTCCCTATTCTTTTGACTAGACTGAAATTTTTTTCGATAATAAATCAGGTTTTAAAATTCTTTAGTTTCAGTGGTATAAATACACTTTACTGAGGACCTTCATTGACCCTCGAGATGATCTTGAGAATGGAATGAAAATTGGAATGTAGGTGATATAAATAGGTAATTTATTACTTAAGATTCCCAAAGAGCTTAGGAGTTAGATTTTGGGTCTAGTTAGGAAGGAAAAGAGTGAGAAAGTGCTTCCACAGTTATTTCTTCCATCTTTAAACTTCAAGATCCTTTGAGCCATTTTCATAAGTCATGATCCCTATTATTTAGTCTTCCGATTCTATCAATTTTCGACGTCTTAATAATTAAATACTGATAGGTTTTATTCAGTTTTCAATAAACTATCGGTCATCGTGTTTCGAATTTCGCGCCAAGCTAGTAATTATTATTATAAACGTGACTGCTTCATCAGTTCATCATACTGTTACTGATTTAGTCTACTCGTAGTTTGAATATGTGAATGGTGTCGCATCACTAACACCTATACGTAACATGTACGTGGACTGTACTTTGCCTACATATATATTTTTTATAGCACATCCTAAACTAAAACTGTTGTACGTAAAACATTTGAAAGTTAGTCTTTAGAAACAATACAATTAGAGCAAATAGGAATATTTAGTCAAGTAGAATATGGTATAATGAAACATGTAGACACATAACAATAAATAAAACTAATGATATTCACACTTAAATGAACTGTGTCCAAGTGCTTAGTCATGATCAATGAATGCTAGTCGTCTAAGTAATTGCTATTGGTTAGTTTTATTAATACCCCATAACTAAGAATCTATGGATAAAGGGTAATTCATCTATCAAGTACAAATTTGTGGATTCAGTTTTGAGTTATTCTGCTATTTTGTGAAGATCATTAATACTACTCGTTCACCCAAATTGGATTACACAGAACGTGACTCTAACAATATATACTTATTCATAACTAATAATTAGTTAACTTAGGCAAAGTTACCGTCTGTTACAAGCGTTGTACAATTGAGTTGAGATTTGATTTAACAGTTCAGTAAATTCGGTAATATTCAACATAGATTTGAACTCCACCAATTCACTCTTTCAAGCAATAAAAAAATATTAAAGGGTAAATCAAAATAAATAAACATAAGATAAATTTGTTATGCAATACTACTTCCACTGGTAATTACAGAGTGAGTCACGAATGAATATTTATAAAACTTCTCAGCATATGAGCTGTGTGATTGATCATTACTGTGATGATACGAGTTTTCTGTGAATCTTTTTTAGGAATCCTGAAATTGTGACGTAGCCTATTTCTCAGGATCAACATTCATGAATGGCTGACCTAAAGCATCTGCAACTTGCAAAGTTATTAAATTTACGATAGCAGTAACATCTATTGTAAGCCATGTTTTAAAGTCATTACTTTGGATGGGATGGTATAGTTGATCTACAATATAGTTACTTTCGAGTTCTACAGCAATGCATTTAGTTCTTATAAAGAACTAGAGTATTATCATTTGATCACCGAACTTCTGTTTTGACATGTTTGCACCAAGTCATACGTTGTTGATGTTTGACCTTTAGATATAGTTTTTCACCATCAACTATTCTATATGAAACATTTTCATTTGGAAAAAGTCTTTTTTTTCTAGGTACAACCGATACCTCTTATTGAAACATTAAATACTGACGTAAAATCATTACAGTCTATCCGTCAGGAACCACGTAAGTTATTGGCTATTCTTACCATTCAAATTTAATATTATTTCCTATTAACAAGGTTTATTCTTTTAATAATGAAAATATTCGATGTAGTTTAAACTTGGTTTTATAATTTATATGCGAAGTACATCCCTCCCTTGTGGGATGTCTTAATGACAGTAAATTGATTATTATTATTATTATTATTATTATTATTATTATTATTATTATTATTATTATTATTATATAGAAATCCACTCTTTCCTTCATCAATTTCTTTTATGAATAACTGAATGGCATTATTTTTAAGTATTACATAACTGGTGAGATTTTTAGTTTTCTATATAAACTATTAACATGTTTGTTAGAATTAGAATGTTTGAAGTGGGAAATATTTGGCCATGTTCTTTATGATATACCTGTAATCTAATTAAAATATCAATCGGATGCTATAGGATTAATATGACTAGTTTTTTCTCCATTTTATCTCATATATCTAATCGTCGAAGATTGTTATATGCCAGTTGATAACTTCTTACCCTTTAAAAGTTTGTAAACTGCAAAGAGACTGTCCTAATTTCATTCATAAATAGTAATGTAGAACCTGATATATTTGTTCACTATTTGCATAACAAGAAAGACAGTTAACAGGATAACGAAAAAAGATATATTGCTTATAGTAGTAGTAGTAGTATTAAGGTGTGATGAATGTTTCAATAGTTTTTCAAACTTCCTAAGAATGGAAGTACACCGTAGTCATACCTTACCGTAGTGAAACATCAGAAGAAATCAAACGGATTCTAAACAAACATGATATAAGAGTATATTTTAGAGCGAATAACACATTAAGATCGACATTAGTGAAAGTTAAGGACAAGTTAGCAAAGGAAGAACAACAGAACATTGTGTATGAGATTCACTGTCATGACTGTAATGCCACATATGTTGGAGAAACATCCAGGCAATTGAATGTAAGATTGAAGGAACACAAACAATGCTTGAAAAATGTTCCAAAATCCTCGGTCGATTTAAAGAAACTTGAAAATAAGTCAGTGATAGCGTTACATGCGTTAGAAACAGGACACAAGATTAATTTTGAAGGGACCAAAATACTTCAGAAAGGTTTTAACACCCATAAAGAAAGATTGACAACAGAAGCGCTGCATATATGGGCGAACAAGAACAGCCTGAACCGAAAAGATGGTATTCAACTGGCAACTACCTGGCAAATTTCGTTTGACAAGTAAATTTGGAACCCATCTCTTGTTTAAACCTGTTTTTAATATCACATGCATCGTTATTATTATTGAAAGAACTCAATGAGTATTTTAAACAATACATTAAATATATGTGAAAATTATATTTGAAATATTCTCAGCGATTGAAATTTAACTAATTCCAACGTTTAGTCCAGCTAACTTGTCTGGACCCAAAATATATGATATCATTAATACTGTGTCTATCTCTTTTTGTGTTTACCATTACATTTTAATGATCAACGATTTACTTTCAGTGGTCTCATTTTACACAGGTTTTGTTTCTATGCTCTTTATGATCGCATTTTCTAGTGATCTTAAATTCTTAATGACTTCTTTATCACTGTTTCTTTTTGTTAAAAAAATCATTTTCATTGCAACAACAACAACAATGGTAGTAGAACCATCTTGTGAAGAAGTTTTACCTGAAATACTGACTAGTCCAATAACTTGTATTTCTGAAAATAATATTGCAAGCAAACGATGTCCTCCAATAGTAGATACTAATGTTAATAATGTTGATTTAGACAATGATAATCATATTGAGGATACCTACAAAAACATTAGTCCTGTACATTTTTCAGTTCAAAGTTTACCACAATCATGTGTTTCTGTAAATAATAAACCTTCCGTTATTGATTCAAAGAATATTGATCAACTGGTCGTTCCTAATCTTGTCAATAGTTGCAATAGTAAGAACAATGAATGTGTAGTTAACCTTGTTGATCATCATGAAATGCAGTCAGCTCGACCTCATCTGGTGCGTCAAGCTCGACTAAATTCAAAACCAATCATTGACACATCATCTTTTATGGAATCGTTTATTGTTAAAACAACAACAAAAGAAAAGAAGAAAAAATCAGGTAAACATCGCCTGATTCGTGTCAGAGATAGTGATGATGAAGGTGAAAATGATATCAACATTAAAGGTGATAAATTAAAAAATAATATTGGTGTTGTTGGTGGCGATGAGGATGGAAGTGGCCGAGTCATTGAAACCTGTTTCCGTCGGCCTGGTGAACTTGTATTTAGAGTTGATTCAAAAAATGTCAATCCATCATCAACGATTGGTGTCAGTGACAAACAGACAACTCGATCCAAGTCGAAATTACCAACAACGACAATCAATCAACAGTCAAGATCGAAATCAAAACCTCAAACTACTACTACTACTACTGCTTGTATTAATAGTACCAATAGTAAGAAGACTAACAAAGATGTGAATAGTAATGAATTTAAAAAATTGTCGAAAGTAGTTGGAGCGGAAATTAAAACAGTGGTAGGTTCTTTCTCTTCTTGGTATTTAATATAAAACTGACCCTTACAGAATAAGTTTGATTAAATCATGTTTCTTATAGGATTAACATTTTTCTATTTTTTTTCATTAAAAAGTTGGACATGAAACATATTTGTATCGATTCAGGTTGTCGCAATATATCAACACAGTGAAATGGAATTATGGAGAGATATATCTGGGCTGTAGAAGTAGTAGTAGAAAAGATTAGTCATAGATAATGTGATTCAAGAAGAAACAAATAGTGAGTGTATCTGTGTAATTGAGGCAGATTTTAAATCATATTATCTAACCCCAACCAGGAAGTAAACATTTACTTATACAGCTATGTCCATTTGTCAATGACTTTATGAATTGATACTAGGTTTTGGTTGGGTTTTCCCCTAGCTTTCTCTCGAACTATTATATAAACAAAAGTCGCGCGTTGAATTAGATGGTGCCTGGTCATATGTATCATATTCCGAACGTATTACTCCATGAAAGTCTCACTAATTCACCAACCAATTTACCATCTTAACAAGGTGCTGTGTTTTAATTTCAGTATTATTGGTTAGGTGATCCCATTGGACGTGAACAATGTTCTGAAGGTATCAATGATCGCATACTAGTAGTCTACAAGTATCCTCTATTTTTAAATCCCACTTTTCACAGCCACTAAGTAGAATCAAACAAACTTTCACAGTATATTCGTCCTTCAATTGCTACACAGAAATCTCACGCCACAGGTGACGCAAGTTGATAAAAACCAAGCGATAAGTCATACAACTAGCCAGATGCATGAATTATAATATCTAGTTACTACAGTGGCCGTTGAATTAAATTCTCTGAAAATGAGTATCACATTTGTGTGTATTTGTAATGAGATTTCCGGCTCTTAGTTTCAAGCCAATTTTTATTGTACACATTCAGTCATAAAAATTCTAAACCTCACTCCAACTGTACCACTATGTTTGAACCACCGGGTGCTTTCACATTATCGCTGAGTTTCATGTATAACTGTTGTGTCCCGATAAGCATAATGGCTAAAACCCTAGAGTCTCTTACCATTGACGTGTGCTGTGTCTCCGAAACACGCATACAGGATTCCAGTGTGGTCATTCACTTGACCTCACCTCGGCAAAACGGAGAGCCAACGAGGTACACCCTTCGTGTATCTGGTGACCCGATGGCCAGTTCTCGTGGACTGGCAGGTGTAGGCATAGCACTAAGCATGAGGGCCGAACAAGCACTGCTAGAGTGGATCCCCGTCAACAGTCGTCTATGTGCTGTTCGGCTGAACGGCTACGTAAGAACTCGGAAGGATAGGGACACACGTCGTTGCCTTTTTGTCGTTTCTGCATACGCTCCCACTGACTGCAGCTCAGATGATGTGAAAGATGAATTTTACAGAAAGCTGTCCGAACTTCTTCAGAAACCTAAACGCTCAGACATAGTACTCGTAGCAGGTGATTTTAATGCTCAGATAGGCAGTTTAAACCAAACAGAAAGGCATCTAGGTGGATATTTTAGTATTCCGACACAGCGAACAGATAATGGTGATCGTCTGCTGCAGCTATGCTCAGACAATCGTTTATTTTTAGCAAACACAAATTTTAAGCATAAGGAGAGACATCGTCTAACATGGCGACCCCCTACACCAAACCAACGATGGACTCAAATAGACCATATTGCCATCAGTCATCGTTGGAGAGGGTCGGTAGAAGATTGTCGCTCATTCTGGAGTACCTGTTTGGACTCCGACCATGCCCTAATACGGGCACGCATCTGCTTGCGCCTCACTGGACGCAAAAAAGCCACATTAAAAAGACCTGTTAGAACTGAGTTGAGTAACGAGAAAACCAAAAGTAGGTTCCAGGAACAACTGAGGTCACACTTAGGTAGTTGTGAAGACGAGGCTGACCCAGATGTTGCTTGGAAGGGCATACAATCAGCTGTGGAAACAGCAGTGACATCTATTAATGACTTAAACCACAGAGTTGCAAAGAACCAGTGGATTTCTTCAAGGTCTGTCACACTGATGGATTCTCGCAAACTCGTCCCATCAGGTTCCGAACATGAGGAAGAGCGACAACAAATCAGATCTAGGTTAAGAAAAAGTCTAAGAAACGACCGTGAGCAGTGGTGGGTAACGAAAGCAAAAGAGATGGAAAAGGCGGCGACTGTAGGGAACACAAGACAGCTTTACAGACTAATAAAAGAAACTGGAATTAATAAGTCAAGCGTAAGTGAGATTATTTCGGAAAAAGACGATACTCTCATCTACTCGCAGTCCAGACGTTTAGAACGATGGGCGGAACATTTCAGAGAATAGTTCAGCTGGCCTTCAGCGACTCTACAACTACCCTCCATCCCCAGACAATGTGAATGGAACACTGAAGTAGGTCCCCCAACTCTTGCTGAAGTTGAGAAGGCTATAGTTAATCTGAAACGAGGAAAGACAGCTGGTCCAGATGGATTGGCTCCAGAGGTCTTTAAGGATGGTGGTCCAATTTTAGCGATTAAGTTGACTAATATTTTAGCTAGGATCTGGGAGTCAGACGTTATTCCATCTGACTGGTCGCAATCACTTATCGTCCCAATATATAAGAAAGGGTCAAAATCATCCTGTGACAACCACAGAGGTATTAGTTTAACAAACATAGTATCTAAAATATTGGCCTCGATAATTATCAAACGCCTAACTAAGACTCGTGAACTACAAACTCGAGAGAACCAAGCTGGCTTTAGACCTGGTCGTGGCTGCATCGACCACATATTCACCATTCGTCAGGTTCTAGAACACAGGCATACCTATCGGCGTCCGACGATGGTGGTATTTCTTGACTTAAAAGCAGCATTTGACTCGGTAGACCGCGAGACTCTGTGGCAGTGTCTGTCATTGAAAGGCGTACCTCAGAAGTACATAAACCTTGTGAAGGCTCTTTACTCGAACACTACTAGTCGAGTCAGAGCTTATGGCGAACTGTCATCTACTTTTGCAACCTCAAGTGGTGTCCGTCAAGGCTGTCCACTTTCCCCATTTTTGTTTAACTTCATCATAGATCTACTGATGGAAATAACTTTCTCATCGACTGAGTTCTCGGGTATCGATCTCCATCCAGGAGGTCCACTTATCGACGCAGATGACATAGTCCTATTCGGTGAAGACGCTGACAAAATGCAGAGTCTTCTGGTAGCACTAAGCAACAATGCCAGAATGTTTGGGATGCGCTTCTCTCCCTCTAAATGCAAGTTGTTGCTTCAGGACTGGTCTGCGTTAACACCTGAACTAAGGATAGGGAGTGAAGTAGTCGAACGCGTTGACAACTTCACTTATCTTGGAAGTCTGATCAGCCCTAATGGGCTGGTGTCTGACAAAATCTCAGCACGGATTCGAAAAGCTCGTTTGGCTTTTGCCAACTTACGTCACCTTTGGCGAAGGCGAGATATCCGTCTATCAATAAAAGGACGAGTATACTGCGCGGCAGTTCGTTCTGTTTTAATTTACGGCAGCGAAACATGGCCCTTAAGAGTAGAAGACACCCGTAAGTTACTAGTATTTGACCACAGATGCCTTAGAAATATTGCTGGCATCTGCTGGGATCACCGGGTAAGTAATAGTGAGGTTCGACGCAGGGTATTAGGGAATGATGGTAAATCAGTTGATGAGGTTATGAATCTTCATCGACTGAGATGGTTGGGCCACGTATTACGTATGCCTGAACACCGATTACCACGACGTGCAATGCTAACCGGGGTAGGGGATGGTTGGAAGAAAGTTAGGGGCGGCCAAACCAAAACGTGGCATCAGTGCTTGAAGTCACTAACTTCTAGTCTGAGCCATGTTGGTAGATGCAGACTACTTGGTTGGGGTCCGCGTGACTTTCGTAACCAATGGTTGGAGACTCTTGGTGACATGGCTCAGAATCGATCACAGTGGCGTCGGTGTATACACTCCCTGTCTTCCCTTAAACTAAGAGACTGAAATCACTTCATTCTTTCTGTCTACGAACTAATTCTTTCTCCCTATACTATATCCTTATTGCAACCTTTGACCTAACCACTGCTATGAATCCGGTGTTCATCTTGCTGTGCTAATGAGGTATGGCAACCTGGACCGATGCACATATGTGCCTGGTCCTACGTTGTAGCTGACTGACTGACTGATAATGAATGGTAACTTTAGGGATCCATTTGTGGACCAATACCATACGTATATTTTTATCGTTTAATTGTTAAATAATTAAAGTGTTCATATTCATGTCCCTCTTATTGTAAGCTTTATTTTGACCTGTGAACTATTATTATACGATCTATCATTCTTGAATCATGCCCTGTGTATTGATTACTACCTCCCACATTCACAGCCACATTTGGCCAAATCTTGTATAAATATTGTTTCCTATTTTATTGGTACGATGTGGTCTGTCTGGTTTGTATATGAACCCAGTATGCTTGGAATAAACGATTCATATCACAGAGGCTGAGATTTGTGTTGTGGGCTTAACTGGCCGGGCTAGCCGGAAAGCAGGACTAATCAGGACTCTAGACTGCTTGTACGGGTTTTACGCGTCCTTGGTCCGATCGATAATTCACTGCTTTCTAATTGGCGGTATCGTTACGTTATACATTAACAGGGCACTCAGGCTACAAGTTATAACTAATGGGATTGAAAGTTTAACATCCACTAACTTTACAGGAATAATATCTGTACTTGGATATTCTTAAGTTGGGCTTGATTAGAAGAGGTCATATTGACATGCAACGATCATTCTTGCAATAAATCAATTTTACATGAGATTCTAAGTATTATGTAGCTTAGGTGACCTGATTAACTAAAGTTAAACACTGTTAGATGCAAGCTCAGTGGCCTCGAAGTTAAGCGTTCGCGTGAGACCGAAGTTATCGGGTTCGAGTCCTGTCTAGGGGGTTGTAGGTGCGCACTGTTGAAGAGTCCCTTACTAGTACGAAGCGGCCGTTTAGCGCTCTCAGGTTTGCGGTCGTGGTCTAACGGTAATTGGCTCATGGTCTCAATAAAAAAATCCACTTTTGTATGTTTTAATTTAAATCGTGTTTAATATTTCTGTTTATCATTATTATTATAACATGGTTTTCACTTTTATCTTTCTCTCCAACCTTTAATTTCTTCATCATCTCAAATTACAATTTGATTGTAGAATATTTTCGATTTATCAATGAATCGAACTGCTGATCTATCTGTTCTTCCGCCTACTTTAAATGATTTACGCATTAAGCATAAAGAACAACAACAACAATTGAACTCAAACACTGAAGCCCAGAAAGATACCACTGCCAAGATGGCGATGACGACAAGGAAACGTTCTGTTCTTGGTGAATTACAACAACAAGAAGATGATAAACTCTATTCTGTTGTAAAGAATAATAATATTGTAGATGAACACCGTCGTCTTTCAGTTGTCTTGACTCCAATGTAAGCTTGTTTTTGGTTTTAACAGATAGTAAAAAAATGTAAGGTTAATTGAGAGTTAGATTAGAAGACTATTAAAGCAGTTTGTAATGACAATACTCATAGTAATAAGAAAGAATATAAATTTGTATCTAATCAAAATAATCATTTACGTAGTAAAGATTTATCTACATACAATTTAGTTGTAAAAAGAGTATGAAAACCAAATTCTATGAAGCGCGGCAATTTACATCCACAACTCGTTAAAAGTTTATAGCTTTAACCATAGAGTTATAGTGCTCCAATATTTCACGTATAAAGTTTAATGCAGACATCCGGCTCTTAAACCGAGTCGGTAGATGTAAGTAGTCAATGTAAACGGTATGAATATTCATTTCAAATCATTAGTGCATAATAGATTCAACCAACCTAAAAACTATGAATAACACATGAATCTGCTTTTAGTGACCAGCTATTACGAATAGAGTTTTCTTGATATTTCTGTACTGTCTTCTGTGTTTAGGATACTTGTCCAAACGATTTCGGTTAAATAGTTCCGTGGTTATGTTCTTCAACTGGTTAGTTAAAATGATATTTCATATTACTGAGAAGATTTCAAATTATCCATTTCTTTTAATTAAATAGCAGTTCTGTTATTCAAATATGTCATCAATAACTTCCAGTTTCACATTTATGCATTGACCGTTATTGATGTCTGATTAGTTTTTCTCGCTTTTAGTTTTCTATTTTTAATGCATCTGAGGGTTCAATATTTACTTCCACAATCAACAGGGCTGTTCTGTCATAATTTTGACACCCTTTCGGAATATTAAATCTGTCCTAAAAATCGTGTATTTAGTTCGTTTAGGTTCAATTTCATAGAAGAATCTCTAAGTCTTTCGTAATTCTGGCTCTCACACATGCACGTATTGAGGGATCTTTTCACATCAGACACTCGAATGGAAGCGAAAAGAATGGATTGTTTCGTCTATCAAAATTTTTTTTTGCTATCGGGCTAAAACTCGTTACTGAATAAGAAAGCGACAGACAAAGAAAGTAATATCAATCTGTCATCTCTATGCTGAAACTAATTGCAACTTAGGTGCGGTCATCAACTGAATCCCGTCCAGGTCAAGAATTGTGATGCTAACCAAGTACTTGAGGATACCCGGGTCGCTCATTTACGGACAAATTAGACCTGTGTAAATGGATTTTATTGAGTGAATATTAGCATCAGCCCAGATACCGAGAATTTTCTGTTGCAGATTTTTACATATCACATACAAATACTGTTTTCCTAGTGTCATCGCCAACTCCTTCAACACAGTAATCATGGTTATGCTGCGTGACTTGTATGTGCTCACATCATCACCTATAATGATCGATGATTACTTTTGGAAAAATAATTGGTCATGGCATTTCATGCATAGTTACAATTTGTTTATTTATTTTTCTAGATGTGATGAAAATCAACCTCCATTCGATGCACCAATATCCAATTCAAAAAATAATAAACGTCAATTTCGTCGATTATATTTATTCGATCAAGAGAACGAAGACAACGATGATAATGGCAATGACGTTGATAATGGTTATAGACTTAAAAATATGAAAGCTGACGTTGGTAATACTGAAGGTAAACAATCAAAAGATAATAACCCAACTTCTTCGATTGGTAAGCTCGGTAATAATCGTAATAGTAATCTACCAATGACGATCAACCCTAAAGTAACTACAAGTCGATCACGAAAAAGGAATTGATTGAAAAGAAAAGCACATTAATGTCCTGTTGAGTTATTTTATCCCAATGCAAAAAGTATCTTTTTTTGTAAGTTGATTGAATTTCTCTCTCTTTCTCCATTCCCGTACTTCGTACATTTCTTTCTTCTGTGTCTGTGAAGATTCACACTCACTAGGCATGCTTACAATTTTGTGGGGTTTTTTTAAGATTAAACCAATCAAGCTCAGAGTAATTGTTGTGTATTAAGAAAAATGTTATATTTCAAGATTCACGTCGCATTCGTTGAAGACTGATTGTACTCTGAGTATTAACTACTCAGATTAATGTAGATAATTTAAACATGAAATGATATTAGAATATCATGATAAATTGTGGATTTATACTGTCTCTTTGATGATATTCATTTGAAAGTAGTGAGTTGAAAACTGTAAATTTAGTTCTCATTACTAGTTGTGACACCAGTCAGGATAGTTACATCTGTTCAGATTCCACTAAATGTCTCAACTAGAGACATGAGAAAACATCTCGGATAATCACTTTTCTATTATCGTTGATCTTTTGAATTGATTATTCAACTTGTTGTAGCTTGTGCAATGTAAATTATGTTGGTCATTTTAAAGGTTAATCATGGGAATATTAGTAAATTTTTAAGTATTCTCATCATATTATTACACATTGACTGATAGTTTGCTGTACACTGATTTTGTAGTTATAGTGCTAGTAGTTCAATCAACCGGAATTTGAATTTATTTCTCATTCTGTTTTAAAATAATGGCTTAACAGTGAAAAAGCATTCAATTTTAGACGGTTAAATTGCAAATTCAAGTCCTTTTACATATCTATTTCAATCTAAACAGTTGTGTAGTAGTAGTAGTATCATTAACCATCATGTACTGCCATTGTGGTATGTGCTACTTATATCGACATGATGAGTAATATATAACGATAGTCACGATTAGAATGTCTGGCAGCAGAATGTCGAGAAGGAAAGAACGTGAACAGAAAGTAATTGGTATGAAAATGCAGGAACAATAAAGTCTCAGACGGTTGATTAATATTTGCAAAAGAAACAGTCAAGTTTGAGACAATTAATTGATATTTTACAAATGAAGTATTTACTGTATGATTCTCAGATTTTAGTAAGATCTTCTGTAATTTTGTTTTCAAATGCATTTGGTTGTCCTCACTTATGTTCTCGTTCACTACACTATGAGTATGTGTAGCTTAGACAACTGAGTTCTGTTTTTAGTAAAATGAGCATCACTTTTCAATCTTTTAAATGAGCTAGGTTAGTCTGTCAGTAACAACGTAGAGCTTCGTATGTACATACATCAGTTCGAGTTGCCATACCACATTAGCACAGAGATACAATTGTCGATTCGAATCCCATAGTAGTAGAGGTAGTAAAATTTTAAGCAGTCATCGGAACGATTTACGTTTGAAGATGTTCTTCAAGGAGTATAATGCAGTGCAATAAATTTGGTAAGAGAAAAAAAGAAGGGACATAAAAAAATGCAGAATATTAGAATTTGGGAGAACACAAAGAGTGGATGCACCTACGCCATTGCAAAGTCTCTAACCATCGGTTGCAAATCCCAACCAGCTAGTCTTCCCAACCAAAATGGCTCAGTCCACATGTCAGTGACTTCATGGATTTGTGTCATGTTTTGGTCTGGCCCCCTTCAGATTTCCTCCAACCTGTATGTAGAAAGCATTTAATTAAGACAGTTAGTTTATTTCTACCAAATGTTTATATATATATATATATATATATATATATATATATTGATAATAAATTATTTTAATTCCTTTCTAGATTTTGAATAAATGAAAAAGACACTTATGGTTGTGTATATATTTTCTATGAAAACAACATACTCAGTTATATAGAATTGACTTGTCTATTATTCTTTGTAAATTTAAATGATTAACTTCATGTTATCCGTAGTTATTACAGTATCTAATATATTTTATTAAAGATTTTTAAATGGTGAATAATTTTTCTTTAAAACAAACAAACAATACAGTTTACTTGTTTTAAATCGACCTAATGGCGTTAACTGTACAGTGAATTTTGTTTATACAAGCTAGAAAATTCCTAACAGAAATATCCCATTTTATTTTTGTCGAAGTGTTTGTTACTGGTTTTTTATGTGTGTTTATCTTTTTTTTTATAATTTTCATTGTTCATCTTAATTCTTGTTTAAATTAATCACAATATTCTAATTCTTTGTTGATGATCATACGATACTTGTTATATCCAATGTTACACAATTAAAGAAAATAGTCTTTTTTTATTGGCGCTATTAAAATGTACACTGATTTGGTAGTGATAATTTAGTGAAGGAATATTAACAATCATGTTTTATGGCTTTAGTATGTGTAGATATAAGTCAGGGTTGATACTTCGACGTACAGTACTATCAGGTATAGAAAAGTCGGTTGGAAGAAAGAAAAATTATTAAGAGGTGATCTGTGAAAGTCATGGTATCAATTCATAAAGTTATTGACATTTGGACTGATTCTATATGTCGGAAGATACGAGCCTTTAGATAAACATCTTAATCTACGGTTGGAGACTTTACTATTCGTCCAAGTTATCAGTTAAAATAAACATGTCTTAGAGCTTTTTCTGGTTATTTTCTAGATTGTATATATTTCTGAGTTAAATATTGAGGAGTTAAAACTATACTCTTAGATTTAAATAGTACTAAAAAGGAATTTCTACTACAATCAGCTCATGTGTCTCAATGCGGTTTATTTGCTTAAAAGAAAAAGTATATATTCAGAGAAATCTTCAAGATTACAAATGCTGTAATTTTTTAGTATTGATAAGATGTCTTAGTAAATAACAGTTCTACATGTTCATTGTGATCAAATTTTGAGAGAAATTGTAAATATTAAAATCCCATGTCGTTGTGAAAGTATCATTTCACATTATAACACTATTTCATCATAAATTCAAGTTGTTTAATATTGGGCGAGTAAACTTGCAAGTATTTATCTTCCAGTAGAATTTCTATATTTAAGTCATAACATTTAGCTTCTATAATACGAAACAAATATAAGTATTTCTTGTACTATCCTAGATAAAAACATGGTATGATTTACATGATAAGAATGATTTTACAGACACCTTTCCTGGGTTTCTTGTTTACTAAAATTCTGCCTGGATCTCTGTGTTGTTTAATGTAGATAAATGATAATTGCTATAGAGACTTCATAAACAAAAACAGAACTTACTATTCATTCAAATATACAATCCTGAAAGCGGGGCTAGTGACAATATAGTACTGTATGATTACTCAATTATTATTTCTTTCAGAAATGAATGAATTCAAGAGCGACTCTTGGAATTATGATGCGAAGTCATGACTGGTCATATCGGGAGTAAATAAACATAATCAGTAACACTATATGACATGAACTACTAGGTTGTTTCTCGTCGGATGAGAAGGTATTGTAGTAATTAAATGGTCTAGACTACAATATACAACTTCGACCTTGAAGAGATTTTAGCCAATCGGATGTTAGTAGATGGCTATATTGGGTTTGTTAATAAGACAGGTGTACAGGCTTGACGTGAATGACAGGTTTTTCTGTGTTCGAAACGGGCTTACCCTGTAATATGAGGAAGCGTTCGTTTAGGAAACTCATTTACATGGCACAAATAATGTTTGGAAAAAGCCTACTGAGCTCTTACATTGTCGATTTGGACTGCAATATCTTGCTCCGTTATTGGTCGGCTGGAATGCCGTTACGCAAAAGTAACTTGTCTGGGAAAACAGGACAATTCGTACATCAGTAAATTCATGTTATACGGAGAACCTTGAGAGATAATCAAAACATCCCTGGGTATGCCTTAATTTACGTGAATTATGCTCAACGTGTATTTTTTTCAAACAATCTACACAATTAGTACAAAGCGTCCCTTATGACGTAACTTTCACATCCTTTAGTGTATGATTACACAAGAGACATGGTCCTAAGAACTAAGTGTTAGGGAGATTACATTACTCATAGTGAGGTGAAGAGACTAGCTATAAGTTTTTGTTGATCAGTATTAACAAAATTAGACTATGCTGTTTGAAAATAACCGCTGTTTACTCTACAACATAAAAAACCAAGAGTTTGAAGAACAGTTGAAATTTATTATTATTGTAACTGAAATATTCAAGAAATGTGCTTGTTGTACTTACAATGTTTTAAAGAATATACAATTTTGTTACTGAAAATAAAGTTACAAGGATAAAAGGATTTGTTCTTTTTTATTTTCATAAAGATGGTTTTCCGTGTAATGCACAGTGCTAATCGATGTAGTTATTTGGCTAAACATGGTTACATTTATACAACTAATGCTCACAAATTAGTTATATCTATATGTTTGTTAATAGGTATTATGTCACTCATATTTATTTTAAAAAAGGGATACTGAGTATTTTGATGTTCAACAACAGAACGATTTTCCGACGTGAAATCTAAAAAAAAGATTTTTAAACTCATTCAGACAATGCACATATATGTACAGTATTTACAACAACTTTATGAACATAACACTGCAACTCATATTTTTACCCAACTTTCAACTGCACAGTTTGAACAGCAAATATATTCTGTTTTCAATAAAGAAACTAAATCAGTGAGGTATTTTATATAGACATATCTGTCAGATCAACATGATCTAATCACGTAGTTATTCTGATACAAAGAGTAAAACGAATCAGTGTCTGAATGAAAAACTAAACCAAAATCCGTATAACGGGATGGCAAATATTGTCTTACATGAATTGCGCTTGTCAATGCATTTATTTTCTAGAGAATACTGTAGATCATTAGGGATAGAGATATTCTCTAAACCTTAAATTTTTTTTGACTATAATGTCCAGAGAAATGAGTTTAGCCAAGGTTATGCACTTTTAACGGTTCGCCTAAGAAATATTGATAACCACTTACATTCATTTTAAGATATTTTGACAGTGACTTTATTTTAGCAACCGATCCCCATATTAGAATGTTTGTTTTTGAAGATGTTATGTTCTCTAGGCTGGGTGGTGTCTTTTCAGAAGACATAATCTGCCGAGCAATGAGTGATTAGAATTTCATTACAGTTGTTTAAAAGCTTGTTCCGTCAGTATGGATTTTAATCTGTTTTCTGTAGTTATGGTTTCACTATTTTCTCTGAAATGATCTTTTATACTAATCGATCCCAGTCTTTTGCATTATCAAGAATAAATTTAGACATATGGGACTGGTTAGCTGGACCCAACAGCTTTGTGAACAAAGGATTGTAGCAATTGTAGTACGCAAACATACAAGCTTTTTACTTACTGTGGTTGTTTTTACGAAACAAGTTATCCCGTAAAGTTAATTAACTTATATATCGGGCTTCGAATTTCGATTCATTAATCTGCGGAGTTTATCGTATTTTTAATTCAAAAGATGTTAATTAAGGTTTATTTCCGTGTGCACTACGTTTTGTTTATATTTCAGTTAACGAATGTTAAAATTCCTTGCAACAACTTATTAATCTGTAACTGTAATAAACTTATAGCCAGTCAACGAAGAAAAAGGAAAAAGAGGCTGGATAGTGATGTGAGACTTAAAAAGCAAGTACGTCCTGGATTTTAGTGAAGGAGAAAAGTTTGGTTATCCTGAGGTTCTTATTTTATAACATTGTATTGCATAGTGTGAGCTCTATACAGCAAAACAGTGGTTGACTAATTAGTTAAAAGAACATATTTGCTTCGTTTCGGAAAACTTGTATTCATAAAATGTGACTATTTACTTACGTTTCCACAGTTATTTCAACTGCTTATAGGATCATACAAATTTCCAAAATATGCTACACAGACAGATGATGAAAAATGTTGTATAGGTATGAGAACTCCATACTCGTAGTGCGCCTCCCTACGTAAAAAATAAAGACATTTTCATGCAAATAACCATAAGATTTCGAAAATATTTAAGCGTGAGCGTGTAAACATCAAAATGTTTTATAAAAGAGATAAACAATATTTGGATTTCACTGAAAGGAAACAGGCTCATTTATACTTTCCGTACATTATAAGGGGTTAGTTTAGTGACATTTATGGTCACTATGCATCAAATGATATGATGAAGTTAGCTCGATATTTTGAAGAATAGAAAAGGTACATTTCTAATTATGTTTAGCATGCGATAACTTATGTGTGCATAGTATAATTAAATGTATCTGATAAATTTTAAGTACAACTTTAATACACGGTGAACCTTGGGAATCATGGCACAGGAAAATCCTTAGAATAAGTTCCGGGAAATTATAGAAACCGCAATTAAGCTTCTCACCACTGAACTGGTCCATATTTATAAAATATGGGCACTCATCCATTACATTTACTTGTTAATGATGCAATCTAACTCAAATTTTGCTCAGCTTTTCCAACTGTAACAACACGTTTAGACTGGCAACTATGTGCTTTTCAATATATACCAACTTGTGTTTTGGAATTTCTACTCTCTAGGCCAATTCAATTCCGAATGTGTTATTTGATGTCAGTATTATGAGACAGATATTAATGGTAAAAAGTTAACTGTAACGGTACTCATATTTTCATACGTCATATGTGTTTTGTAGTTGTAAAATCAAACATAAAAAGAATTAATGTTTTTTCATTACTCATGAAGTCAAAACACAAATAGGTTTATTCATTTTTTCTCTAATTTTGCTTGCATTATTTTCAAACCAGATACTTTTCTAACAAGTATTATTGCTTTCTTAAAGGGATACTTTATGTGATAGCTAGTAAAATAACTTACAGGCACATAGTAATTGCATCGATCACTGTTACAGCAGTAAGAACAAATCCAGTCACGGGTTTTTGATCTGGAACAACGCTCTGAGATGACAGACGATGTCATTTGACAAGCAGATGTTGTTGTGCAGCCTTTTGTAACAAATGCCCTTCTCTCAGCGAGAACGGTCCAGAAAGAAGGAGCTATGATATCAGAAGGAAAACATTCGGTTACTTCGATACTGAACAATAGACTGGCAGGTATCTTGTAAAGGTTCGCAAGTTTGGATAGTTCTAATACAGTCATTCCAGTTTCCCTCCTCATTTGTACAAATATAGCACTCAAGAGCTTCTAAAATTTATGTGAGCAGTATATAAATCTTAGAATGCAAACCTAGATGAAAAGGCAAACTCGCAACTAAACTTAGAACCTCTAAAAGCATTTCCTCCTTTTTGAAATGTTGCTGTTTATACTAAAAATGTTAAACAACCCTATCGCATTTAATAAACATAAGATCAGCTGATCTTCGTTACACTTACAACTAACACATATTCAGAAATTCCGACTTTGATGTTATCTGATAATTCTCCTGAGTTCGGTCGTTAGAATAAAGCTCTCATGCTGACGGTTGTTTCCTGGTCTATTAATGATCCTGCATATGCTTATAAATGATGGTGTCCCTTCCAAAGCTTCGCCATCTACTTTGATTTGGCTTCCGCTTACCGCGTTACACTTTGGGATCTTGCATTTACTTGCTTCTGTTAAAGCCTTCTAGTATGGAAACTAGTACTTCCCGGGCAATTTCCGTGTATGGGGTAAAAAGACAATTCACTCTGCTTACTCTGAATTGTGTGATTTTGTGGATAATTTCAACTGTATCCCATGTTTCCCCTATGTTATGAAAGCCTTCATGATCCATCCAACAGCTACAATAAAGATACAGAAAGCAGGAGCCTATTCTGAGACCGGTCTTTACTAGGTAGACACCTCTGAACTTATCTATATGCAAAATTTCAAACCCAGACCCTCATCAATATATCGTATGATGATATTAATCTTTTTCAGTACGTCACAGTGTCGAAGAGCACTCCGTACTCTATCCAACGCCTACTTATTGTCCGAGACATTAATGTATACCGACGCTTTTTACTAAGTGGGTGGTCGAACATGAACCCATAGTGTCGCAATTTGTCGGCATACGATCGATCCTTGTGAAACTCAGACTGTTAGTCTGAAAGTTCAGGGTCCATTGAATATTTCTCTGAATTAAGCGAAACTTTTAAAAACTTTGTCTATCACTGATTAAAGTGTTACTCTTCTGTAGTAACTTTTGTAAGTAACGCTCCGATGTCCCGTATGTCCAATGGGGTTTCCTACAGAAAATCTATTCTTAGTTTTCCATTAAGCTGTATCTTTGCTCATGAATCTCAATCCTTGCCTGATCTCTCCTGTTTACTCGCTCCTTATTTGATTTATGTAATTAATTCAGCTTTTTCTGCTGCAGCAGCCAGGTCTTCGCATATTTTCGCTTGTCAGCAACAATGCTCTTCTTTCCTAAATTTACTTATTCATTATGTGCCCTACGTTATTTTGATCACATTCCGTTGCCGTTGAAAAGTTGCTAATATGCTCTGTCCGAGATCTTACTAAAAATATCAGTAGGGATCCACTTGTTGCTGTAAACAAATCTGCGAAATCAATAGCTCTGTAAGCCTTCGACGTTGGATGCTTACCACATTAGTTTTAATGGACTCACCTAGCTGTAGGCGCTCGGTCATGCATCCGCACCAGATCACGTGTGGGAACACCATGCTCAACAACCCGTTCAATCGCTAGCCAGATTATATCAGACGATTCTCGATATACTGATAGCCTATCAAATATATCTTCGAACCTCCTCTCTTCTGTCTTTTGATTTCACTTGGTGGGTACGATTCATATCAGGTCTTACTGGTCAAAGCGTTATCAAACTCCAAATACTTGTGGCAGCCTCACACTACTTACAGTTGTACCATTGCAGCCTTTGACCGCCATAAATTTTGAAGTTTTCGCCTCTTCAGTCTCTTACCGAGTTTGTCAGTACCTCGAGATAAAGAGGAATCAAAATTTTGTAACTTGGTTTCTCTAGTTATCTGGGCTTGTTTAGCTGCAGTTTCGGCTTGGGTGCCATTAGATGGCGAGCTGAAACTTTACTTGTTTTAATCTTTTCCTTAGCTGTACTGAACTTTCTGTTAGGGGAAATGAAAACAACTTGGTTCTCCATAACGTATATATTTCTGGAATTTTCTAACCATTCCCGTTCCTTAGTCAAAGTCCATGTCATCACATATTATCCTCAAACTCGGTGTTCATTTCTGACCACTTCTCTACAATCGACTAAAACCTCACATAAAACTGAACTTTATCGTATACAGGGCTATCACTGGTGAAAGCATAGCACTTTATAATAGTGATTTTAATCCATCCCTTCTTTCTTCTAATGAATCATTTGTATATTAATTCATGAAACTGCCACTTTATAAGTACTTTTATTGCTTCTTTGAAAGACCTCAGTCTAACTCTTCGTGTACACACGGCATTTTCAACTTCATTGAAAACAGTTTGATCACACCTTTTTTGAGGTTGGTATTTTCTGTAAAGCCCATTTAGCTTCGCACTTTCGGTACACTCTTATGATATATTTATACATATAACTGTAGATCGCCAACGTAGATTATCTATGTCGAAATTGGAGTCCTACTCGAGTTAGACGTGAATGGTGTGACAAACTAGCTAATGTCGTAGTCACACCTCATGGTCAGCACCTTACGTGGACTACGCCATCGAAGTATCAAGGTGCCATAGATGCTTTGAAGACTGTACAACGCAGAGGACGTTACTACAGAAATACATTAGTTAAAGTAGATACAATCGAAAGTAAGACCAATGCCGCACGGGCCAGTCCATGGCATACAATTAACTGAAGGGCGTTGGTTGTCCCTGACCTTGATGAGGATCGATGATTTGCTCGATATTCAATGACCCAACTGCCGGATGACTTGGCTAGGGCTTGGTGATATTTCGCTGGCCTCACATGAATAATGGAGTTACTCGAATGGTCCCCTGTCTCTACATCGTACATCCTCTCCATGTACACATGTTAGCTGTTTTCCTGGTCGTCAGACGGTTCATCGACCAGGAGATTAAGAGGAAACTCGTCTTCACCACGGAACGTTATAATAATTTTTCGTGAAGAATCTTTAACCGCCAGGTACAACTTAAATTCTTCGAATGGTTTTTTTAGTTGATGTTTCTTAGGTAAAGTTCGTGTCTATCGGATGGCGTTGTCAACATCACGAAAACCTTTCTCTGCTTACTACTACTTGGGACAGAGAGCAACCCCCCTAGGAGTCAAGCAGTAGTTAACTGGTGGAGGAAAGAAATCCTATCGTTTGGTAAGGAATCTCGCTTTTTCAAACAGACCAGCTCTACTCCCAATCAACGGAAAAAGATATTACTAGTAGACAATCGTCATGTGACATAATTCAGAACACGTGAAATTCACGATTCAAAAAATTAGTCTGTGCTTCGTAACCACATTATCAGAATCTGAATATTGCAGTTTCATGGACAGGCTATCATAGGCGAGTCTCATTTAAACACACGATAAAATTAGTTATTTCCAACGAACTTTTTTGTTTTATTATGGCGATGGGTATTTTAATCACTCGTGCCACGAAAAATCGGTTATTCATTATTGGTACAGTTTGTACATTGACGTAAGGAGAAAGTAGTTATCCTCTTGCTTCCTTCCTAGTTAATGAATATGTTTATTCTGTGTATAGATAAATGATGATTAGATCACTGGATTTACACATTTATTTGCGTACTAATGGCTCTGATTTTATCTTAATCCATTATAAAGTTGTACGATTTTCGAAGTCAGTGACAGATGTAAAAACGTAAACAATATATTTGAGGGAAGAGACCTCAGATCAAATTTCGGATTTACTAACTAGTGTTATTACTTTGGATTTCTTCCTATCGGGTGCCGTGCAAGGATTTCAAAGTATTTGTAGTAGGTTGCGTGGATTAGCCTATCAATCATGGTCATTCTGTATAGATTGTTTTAATTCACTCTATATGTATTTATCCTATCTTTAGTCTGAATAAGACCTTTACAAACTCCAGACACCATATTGTTAACTGTTACGATACGATGAGTAAGCGTAGACAGTGATGTGACTCATAGATTAGACAGTCATGCCATGAAATATCTACAATTTCAGGATTAGGTCTATTATTATAATAATATTAACAACGACGTAGACCATAATCCTGCAGATTTCCTCAAACTATTTCAACAAATAAGACTCTATGCTCGTGTGGTGTTTGTGCTAAGCAATGATTGTTTTAAACTTGATTTCTTCTTGATATCGAATTCTAAATACAGCACGTCCGTTTGTACTCACCTAGTCTTATTTGGTTTAACTTACACTGTTCCAGGAATTCTTGTTCAATAATATAATTCGAGTACTTTTGACTATAATACCTCGTTATTGGTGCATCTCCCATATGGATGTTTGCAGTTTTAGTACAGAATAGCAAGCTTATCATTATTGTTCCTAGAAGATGATGCAAGAAAGGGCAAGGGTATTCCTAAACTGTCAAACTCAGAAGCTAATAAATCCAACGCTCTTGTCAGAATAATTAGTTATCGACACATCTCAAATCACGTTGTTGAGGGATCAGATGGACCAATATCTCATGTACAGTCAGTCAGTGCAAAAATGTGTAGGTAACCAGAAAAAAAATGTGTGAAAAAATACGAATAATTCACACTATTTAATGGTAAACATTTTTTAAACGAACAGAGAACTCACTTCAAAATCAACCTCATATGACAGAAGCGATCAGTCCACAAAGTACAAAATTAAGCCAGCAGTCTAAAATGTTGATCACCGCAAAGAAATGTAATGTAAAACAAATGTAAACACTTACTTGAGGACTCATCAACATCAGTGTGTTATTTACCATTCAGAATTTTTTCAACAATATAGGTGTAATAAATGCAAGCAAACCAAAAAAGCGACAAATATACGAAACTGCAAACATTAGTAGGAGCAGCAATAAATACAACGGAGCGAAAAGGTGATAATTGAAGATGGCACAGGTACTCAGTGTTTGACAACGCTTTTACTAGTAACACCTTCTAATATAACGCGTACCCACCAAGAGAAATCAAAAGACAGAATCGAGGAGAACAGAAGTTGTATTTGACGATTGTCAATGTATCAGAATTGTCTGATCTAGTCTAGCTAGCGATTGCAGTAGATGTTGAGCACGGCGTTCCCATACGTGATCTGGTGCGGAAGCATGACCGAGCGCCTTCAGCTAGGCGAATCCATTAAAACATATGGTCAGCATCCAGTGTCGAAGACTTACAGAGCTATTTATTTTGGGGATTTATTTACCGCTACATAATCATAAGGAAAGTTATTCAAGGAGGTATTTACTCCCATGTTTGTACAGGGAAACGTCGTAACGAATCTTAAAGTAGTTGATGATAATTTTAATTCCGATGATTCTCCAGTCAATCCTATTTATGTACATAACTCTAAACTATAGATAGATAGTACTCACTCTAATTCTGATGGTTTACTTATTATTAATTGTGTTTTGATTGATTCCAAACGACTACACAAGCGATCTGAGGATCTCATTGTCATATTTAGATTAAACTCACTTAAACCTGTGAAATTCGAGACGCCCTACCTGAGAACAGATCATCAGTTAGATCAATACTCACTTCGGAGTTACCTGAAAAATGAAACCCACTGTTTTGAGGTCATGATCTAAAGCGGCATCCAAGATGTTTTATCCCAAGATTCCTGTCAAAACATTTCCATGTGATGTAACGGATGTTATTCTTTCTTGCATTTATTACGAAAAAAACCTTAATAAGACTAATCATGTTATATCAGAACTGGGATTCACGACTTAAAATAAAGAATCAAATAAACACTGCACAATACTTTGCTGAAAGCAATCACATTCAGTGATTTCGTAGTAGAAATCAATCACAAGAAAGGAAATCACACATTTAATAGTACATGGGCTCTGTGTTTGTCCACGTTAAACGACGACCACCACACAATATAATAAATCGTTCCACAACTAGTCTTTCTCCTCATTATCTATAAAAGTAGTTCAAACTATTTCATGCGTTTTACTCCCACCTTCTTGTCCGAAACCACTGCTTCTCCTGTGGATATAAAGTTCTTGTTGATTCTTTCAATAAAATTGATATGGATTTACGAGTGTAATGGTTGGTGAAATCCGAGATGAGAATATGACTGTCAGTGTTTGTCATGACGCTCGGTTTTACTTCGTCTAATGTTATAACGGTTGGGTTTCCACGCTTACACGTATGGGACGTTACTTTACCTTAAACCATTATCTACACTAGATTCCCACCCAGTGTCTATTCTACAGGACTTCAACACAACTCAGATCAAGAACACATGATTAGCCTGACCACAACGTAAATATATTTCCACACCAAAAGCCCGACACAATCTAACAACAATGAACAATCAATAATGAGTCCCAATAATAATAAGGATAGGGGAATATATAACTCATCTGACACCTGTCAGACTATCTACATGTCTAACTAAGCAGACAACCAATCATTATCACTCTCGCCCACACATCAGTGTTCCGCGTCTGTCAATACTTAACAGGTTATTTACTATCATTAAGTGAAATGAAGGGGATCAGGCCATCCCAAGTCACTCAGTTCATGTTCAGGACGGAACATTATCCATTGATATTCTTCTGTGAAATAGGTATGATGGCTCGACTAGTATGACCTGAGTTGATAATACGTGGTTATTTTTCAAAAAGTCAGAATCCCATATATTAAGTCAGAAGTTGTGACAAGACAAATGACTGAATTGCAACTACTTTTGTTACGTTAACCAACCACTGTAGTCTGAAATTTCAAAATAATCCGTCAGTTTGCCAACTAATGTAAAGTGGACCAATCTTCCTAAGTCGATCCACATTCACCTTATTTAGAAACATATTTCCCGAGGGGCCAAGTAGAAACACTATTATATTGTCTTAGAAATCAAATTTAGGTATATGTTTTGCAGAAAAAATCTGAAACACAAGACTGAACAGATATAAACGATACATCGCACAGGTTCTTCTTGTCTCTCTTACACAAGTTGAACCATTAGTTAGCTTCTTTCGGGAGCATAAACAAGTAGCAAACCCAAATTTTTCTTAAACTAACACTTCCTCAGATCATCTCAAATTCACTTTTGAAATGAACTTTATGGACTATCATGTTAAAACTGAAGTTTTGAACTAACCATCCATCGCAAGTTGACACTCGAATAATTACTTTAATTTCAGCTTAGCACACCCACTTAATGCAAAAATTTCTTTCGTTCTAAATTTCTTCAGATGAGGCACTATAATCGTAACATCAGCTGAGAAGAAAAACAACTAACAAACTCCAGGCAAATTACTTTATCCTGAATATTACTAAACAAAATACATAACTACTAAATTACTGACCGATCATCAAAATATTGTTAGTCCCTTCTCTTTTTTATATATATAATGCAACGTAGCTTCTGGTTGATTTTCGAATAACTACTCTAATTATTATTAATCCTCTTTCTTTCAATTACTCAATATTAATGTATAATCGATATGTCATTATATAATTATTACGTAACGTATCTACTCGATAATTATTATTTCATTATTGTAAAACGCATAATAATAAATTGAATGGAATATCACGGGTTGGTACTACAGTTCTACCATACCTTTATGGCACAACAGACGAGCCATAACGAATCCTTAATCTCAAAAAATAAAAGCATCCTATAAAACAACCAACACTTCGAAATGGTTTAGTTGAAATAAAAGTTAAAATCCCTACCATTTCGACACAGCGTTACGGATTGTTATGGATTCTATATTGCAGTCTTGATGTGAAATCATGACTTATGCGAGAGAACATCTAAGCTACACAAAGAGAACTCCAGGTAACCCTTTAGAACCATAAAATCAACAAAACAAATAAGCAATAGCAGTAAATGCCCTTCTATCAACCATAAAATCCTTATTTACTTGATATGGACCTTTTACACAATGTCCATACATATTTCATCCTGTTCACATCTCATACAACTAACAAACATACAAATATCTTTCACATCATTCTTCCAGATTATAATAATTGCATTTGACAAACCCAACAACAGATACAAATAAGTCTCAGACAAAAAACCATTTTGGCCAAATTGTCATGTCTGTTAATGACATGACATGACATCATCAGGCAAATCTTAATTTCGATCACACCAAAAATAGTCAACTTCTTATTATTTTTCATTCTCTGAAGAAGGAGCTTACACAATAAACAGTTATTAAAGCAAAATCATAAAAGTCATAAGATCGTTCATGATTGACTCGATCAGAAAACAAAAAGATACTAATAACAACAACAATAAAAATTGAAGTGATAATAACACAATAAGAATTGTTTTGAAGGAACTACATAACAAAATGAAAGATAAATTTTTTTAAAAAAGTCGAAAGACACGCTTAGTTTCTATTGTTTCATTGTTGTTTTCCTTCTATTTTCTGATAATATCTTATTCCGCCGAAATACCCAAACTAATACGTACACTTCGAAGTGCTAGACTATTGAAACGCGCTTTATCTTCACGCCATGTTTTTGCTGCATCCACATTAGCCGCACTCTCATCATTCGGTTCTAAAAAGTAATGATTAGTTTTTAAAAAAAACGAAGAATGAGGATCGTTTTTAGCCAAGTTATGATGTGAATTATTTACTAAGTATACTCTTTACAAAGGTGATGAGGCTAATGACACAATTTAAGTGCTTGGACTAACCCAAGTAAAGAGTTTGAACCTTTGGTCTGTTAGTCAAAACGCGCGTCCTTGAACGATGAAGACGAGAAAAATAACTTGCCATTGTTGGGTCATAGGTCTGAACCGCATCGAGCAGCATCACTACCTCATATACTAAAATGAATAGTGTCTTAAAGCTGAACTCATAAACCTGTACTTGGAAAACCAGTTACGGTAATTACTGGAAAATTGCATAGCGAACAGATAATCGTTAGGTGCGAAAATCCATTAGTTCCTAATGAAAATTGCAATGTAAATTCGAGCTCAAGATACTAAAAGTAACTTGAAATTGTTATCATCATTCTTTAAGCCTTGGAAATCAGCGCTGTCATCTTCAATTAAAAGAAGAAAATCTTTATTATCAATAACCTTGTCTTAGGTTTCATAATAATGAAAAGTTGAACAGTAGTGCCGCAATAACTCAATTACCTAATCTAGTCAGTAATCAACTGCGAATGTAGTAACAAGGGGTTCACAAACTTTTATTTCTTTTTGATCTAACCGAATTTTCAAGAAACCTGTTTTGACTAAATCTAACCCTCAACGATTACGCAAGTATATATTCATTGATGTTAATGATCATATTACCACTCTGCAGTTGGACACTGCATCCGATATTACTTTGATTTCTCGAAAAACTTGGCACAAACTTGATCGGCCAAGCGTTCATCTCACTACTTGCTGCATAAAGAATGTATCGGGTATTTCAATTCACATCTCTGGAATTATCAAATGTACTGTCAAATCTAATGATCTAATAATCAAATCCATATGTTATGTAAGTGATGAACACTTCAATCTATTGGGTCTTGATCAGATCACATAATTAAAAATGTTCGATCACCCATTTAATCTTATTTGTAATCCATTTTTAAAGATGTTCGACAGGTCATCTAACATTATTTGCAACCAAATATCTTCATCTCCTCATATGATGCACAAATGGTGACAGAAATTTCCTTATGATATTCAGAATGATTACAAGGTGATGGTGTAGTGAGTGCTACTTATATTGATATAAGTAGTATATTATGTGAGTCAGGAATGTAAGGTCTGGCAGCAGAAGATGGGGAAAGATCAAGAAAGCAAGAGCGGGAATAAAATGCAATTTGTATGAAAATGCAAGGACAATGAAGTCTGAAGCATTTTGAAACAATTGGTGGACATTTTGCAAATTAACGATTTGATATATGGTTCTCAGATCTTATTGAGATGCTCTGTAATTTTGCGTTAAATACATCCGATTGTCCCCACCCGTGTACTGTTCACTAGAATGGTACGACCGAGAGAATCGCCATCAATAACCCTCAATCCGGCCTCACCTAAGGTTTTTCTCCTGTTGAGTCACTGTTCGGAAGGAGGATTCGGAATTAATTTGATATCATGTACCCACAAAAAAGAAGACCAGATTATAGATCCACGGTGAAGAGAATTGAACGTCAGTCTCGTAATGTGTTACCAGTGAACATAAGGAACTTTCAACAATGGGGACCTACGTGGATAGCCAGTGTCATCGTAAGACGAGTCGGTGACGTGATGTACGCAATATGTAAACCACATCCGAGATAGACGATTAAATCCGAAAAATAATCCCCTTGCTCGAACTTGTGACTGGATTATTTAATTGATACGGTTGGTCTGGAGCGGCAAGATCAGCGCAGAAGAATTGATATCCAGACCCCAAGAAGATTATCAGGACGACATTTACTTCAACGCCTTCAATTAAATCCAATGATTTATGTTTCAGGAGGGAAAGGTGATATGGTAAGCCAATAAGAAGTAGCCTAATGAGGTCAAAAGATGACAATCAGAAGTGACTTAAAGGTCAAGTGCATTTTATTGACCCAGAAATGAATCAATTTTCTAAGAGTTAGAGTGGCATATAAGTAAATGAGTATCTGTGCACTTTATTGGACAGTCCAATATACTTCTTTGCTCACTCTTGTGTTCTCGCTCAAGTAGTTGGTTGAGGGGTTAGCGCGTAGCACACTGTGTATCAGTGTCAGTATTTGGACACTGCCCGTCACGACAATATTGTTTTTCTAAAAAATGTAGGAATCACTCGTAGAAATAAGCGCTAATCACTTAAAGCCTATCCAGTTGAAAGTTGCAATACAAACAAGATTAACTCTTAAGTGAAGAGTTAGACCGTGGTAAAATCGAAGTGTAGGACACAATGTATTCTATAACATGAACTAGACCAATTTGAAAAAAATATTTTCATAACCTACAATTGACCTTTTAATTGGAAGCATGTAAAACACTGTTTCGACTGAACATGACACAAATCTACGATAATCAAATACGAAAATTAATTTTATTGTATTCACCACTAATTGATCCGTGTGAAGTAATTTTTTGTAGAACGACCACTACTAACAGGATTAATAACATACTACCACGCCAGTAGCTTTTCAAGTGTTTATGTCGTTCCCAAAACCGGGTAAAGGAGGAGGGTTGTATATGGGGTCCGTAACCACAATCCCGTAGAAAACAACATTACTAAAACAAAACTGACCGAAAATAAACAGTTTAAACCATATAAACGTCATTTAGAAAAACTAAGACACTTCGTGGTGAAAGCCAATATTCTTCGGAAGTCAAGAGACCTATAACCCTTCTAACAACCACAGCAACAACTAATATACGAACATGCAATGTCCACACAATGTGAGAGACCTGGAGGACCGACCAAACAGCTACAGAAACGAGCAGACACAACTTGACCGTGCTACGAATAAGCGAAATCCATTAAATCCAAGCTCGACAGAAAAGGTTACACATTCGAGAGAAATGCTGCTGTATTCTGACCACGAAGAAGAAAATGCGCCGCACACTCACGGAGTCGCTCTGATCCTGCCCAAACGAGTACGTAAAGCCTTTATAGGATGGGAATCTCATAGACGCAGAATCATCATAGCATTTTTTAAAACAAAGGAGGGAATCACAATGAGTGTTATCCAGTGTTATGCACTCAACAATAATAGCAACACACCCAATAAACGTAGGTTTTATGAGAGGCTGCAATCGATCATAGCGAAGTGCTCAGATGAAGACCTAAAAACCCTCATACGAGATCTAAACGTCAAAGTCGAAATGGACAACAAAAGGTATCAAGATATCATGAGACGACATGAACAGACTGGGATAAAGAAACTAGAATGGTGAGAGATTCGCAAATTGTGCATTCAACAAAGTGGTTATAGGTGGTACAATATTTTCACACAAATGCACACACAGAGCTACATAGGTCCCACCAAATCACACTACACGGAATCATGTCGATCATATTTGCATCAATAAAAAATTCACAAGGTCAATGGAAGACGTGAGAACCAGGGAGGGAGCTGACATAGATACATGTCACCAAAAAAACACTAGACAACGAGGAAAACAGCACTATAAAGGTTCAACAATGCCTTCTTTCGACACATTGACAAACTACCCAACCAATTCAAGACAACTCTCAACAACACGTTTCAAGCCTTACAAGATCAACTCAAGGAAGAAGAAACTATTACGGAGGGAAATTGCAAATGGATCACAGAAGCACTAGCTTCAACATGTCAGGAGGTTCCGGGCCGCAAGAAGCATCATCATATGGAATGCATCTCTATCGAAACCCTGCACAAGATTCAAGAAAAGAACAACAAGAAGACAGCAATTAACAACAGCAGAACAACGACAGAGAAAACAAGGGCACAAGCTGATTACACAGAAGCAAATAAACAAGTAAAGTGGAGCCTAAGAGCAGACAAACGGAACTACACCGAATAACTATCAACAACAGTGGAAAAAGCTGCAACACAGAAAAATATCAACCAACTATATGGTACAACGAAGAAAATGGTAAGAAAATATTGTAAACCAGAAAGACAGGTCAACGACAAACAAGACAAACCAATCACTGAAATTTAAGAACAAAGGAAGAGATGGGTGGAACACTGAAGGACTCTTGAATAAGCCAGCTCCATTGAATACATTGGATATCGAATCGGCACACAGACTTTATTATGGATGTCACTTCACCAATGATAAACCTAGAAAAGGGTAAGCAACAGCACCTGACAACATAACAGCCGAAGCACTCAAGTCATACATACAAGCAACTGCAAACATGATCCACATTCTATTCAGGAAGATTTGGGAAGAGGAACAAATCCCGTCACACGGGAAACAAAAATACCACGTCAAGATACCAAAGATAGGAAACCTGAGCAAATGTATAAACTACGGAGGCAACACATTACTATCTGTACAAGTAAAACTTTACAACAGAGTGTTTCTGTACCGGATGAAAAATTCAGTAGACGCTCATCTTCGAGTTAAACAGGCTGGATTCCGTAAGCATCGGTCGCGCACAGACTGAATAGCGACACTATGGATCGTTGTTGAGCAATCAGTTGAAAAAACTCATCGCTATACAGCGCATTCCTTGTCCATGAGGTGTTTCACAAAGTGGGAAGAACCTTATGGAACCTTGTTCGACATTACGGTGTAAATCATACGAAATTCATACGGCGGACTACACAAAGGAAAACCCAAGGTCCTCAAATACATCACGAAGAACACCGATCCAATCACACTTTCTAGAGACGTTCTGAAAGGGGTGGAAACTTTCATGTACTCGGACAGAGTCATCGATGAACAAGGAGGATCCGATGCAGACATAAAGGCGAGGATTGACAAGTTAAGGACAGCATTCCTACAGTTGAAGAACATATGGAACTCAAAACAACTGTCTGTCAACCTACATCAAAGTCACAATCTTTAATATGAACGTCAAGAAAGTTCTACTATACAGAGCTAAAACTTGGAGAATCATCACAAACATAATCAAAAAAGTACAAGTACTTATAAACAATTGTGTATACAAGATACTCAATGTCCGTTGACTGGATACCATCAGCAACAGCCTACTGTGGAAGAGAGCAAACCAGCTTCCGGTCGAAGAAATTAGGAAAAGAAGTTGGAAGTGGATAGGACATAAATTTCGAAAATCATCAAACTGCATCACGATGCAAGTGCTAATTTGGAATACTGAAGGGGAAAGGAAAAGAGGAAGATCAAGTAACACACTCAGTCGGGAATAAGAAAACAGACCTCAAAAAAGTCAATAGCAACTAGAAAGGATTGCTCAGGACAGTGTTAGATGGAGAATGCTGGTGGGCGGCCTATGCCCACTCAACGAGCAGTAACAGGAGTGAGTAAGGTGGCTATCAGTGTTACAAACAACTAGTTAAACTTTTAAACGGGGATTACCGGGTTTCAAACTTTATGGTTTAAAGATTGAGATCATGAGTCAACTAAAGATAGACCACCATGGGAAACCTGGAACCACTGGACAGCCGTTTCGTCCTATTGTGAGAATCCTTAGTATTGCGCATCCACGGTCCCTCGCTGATGAGGAGCCCCACAACAGGACGAAATGGCCTTCCAGTGCTTCCAGGTTTTCCATGGTGGTCTAGATTCAATCGACTCATGATCTCAACTATTGAACTTAATTTTTAGCCGAATCCTAGTCCCCCTAAGGAATTTCCTACGCTTTAGCCTCAAACAGACGACAAAAGGCAGGAAATATGAAAACAAAATTTGCTTTCAGAGTTAATTTAGGCATAGAATGTATGGCTCTAGAATTTTAAAAGCTTCCAGAAATATGGATAAATTAATAGGGAAACCACTAACTGTTGAATCAAGATATGAAACACAACACGTCGTCTTTTTAGAACTCTGAAGGTTGTAATCAGCACTGGTTAGACGAAGTATTTTTGCTCTTCTCCTAGTTCCTGAAGAGTTCTCTGAATTCTTAAGAGCTCGCAACAAATAAATCAGATAGTTGGATGCTTAAACTAAATACAACTAACCAATACTTTCTGATTTTTAATGATTGCCAAACTGATGTTAATCCATGAAATAAAGTACTTTCATTATGAACTGAATTTCAATGACCCCCCCCCCGAAAAAAGAAAAACGATTCAATAAAGTTCTTATTATATAGACTACCAAATATTAACTTATAAGAAACTGTAAATATGATAGGGGTAAGAATTAAGTCTCAATTTCATAAACGCGAACGAATAATCTACAGAATTTTTATTTCTGCACTCTTTTCCCGACCGCCGATTGTTTAATGATTCCAATGACTGCTCACTATTTATAATCTCATGTATTCACTACTTTGTATGGCAGTATATCATTTTACTAAATTAAACAAAAACCTATTGAGCTAGCTAGCTTTCTTTTGATGACAATTCATTTAATGAGAGGGTTGGGTTGAGTTACGTCGATAATTTGATCTCATAAACAGTTGTTTGTTGTCAGTATGACTACCACTGATATTTTCCAGCATTATCTACTAATTATTAAACACTGATATTCAATGGATTATCATTTTAACAAACTTAAAATGTAATCACAATGGAAAATGCTTCTTTCTCCTACGTATCAAGTTACCGATGATGACAATTTAGAATAGTGAGATAAAAACTTTGTGATTAAAATGATTCCGACTCGGTGGTCCAGAGGTTAAGTGTTCGTGCGAGACCGGAGGTCGTGGGTTCGGTCCCCGAATTCGGAGTTACGGATGAGCACTGCTGAGGCGTGCCACAATAGGACGAGACGGCCGTCCAGTGCTTCCAAGATTTGAATAACGATCTAACATTGGTCGGTTTGTGATTTTAATAAAATGTGATAGTTATTTAGTCGGACTCTATGGTTTTTGAGTAGTTTTCTAAACAGGACAATGATTTCCTGAAAAAAACAAATAATTTAAAAACTAGATTTAATTCATCTTAATCATTAAAATCAATTACCTGCAAGCATACTAACAACAGATAATAAAATTTTTTCGACTGATTGAACTGGACTCCAACGTTCAACGGAACTTTCATAACCCATTGGATCATCACCAGGAGCATGAAGTATGGAAATGCACACGCGTCCATCTGGATAGACTACATAGTAAGAGAGGAGATTGAAAAAGAAATGCTCACATACGGTACACAAAACATACTAAGAATGGAGTTGTTAACCAATACTTAATTTACGTTCATTTTCTTTGTTTGTTGTATGATAATGAGATGCTGATAACGAGGGATGAACACAATTGGATTTCAGACCAGATATGAAATATTGTCATTTGATAAATCTTCGTAATGACGTAACTGTTATATACGGGGGTTTGGTTCTAATATGATCATATGATTACTGTTCAGTCATTTATAAACAACGTAGAGCTTGACATATATATATTCGTTTATGTTGATGCACTTCATCACCATAGCCAAATAAATTGGCAAGACAAATGTCAGCGTAGTGGAAGCAATAACAGTATCAGAATGGGGTGGAAAACACTAGGCATAATCAATATGATTCGAAAAGCAAGAATGAATCTGTGAAATAAAAAGTACAAAGTTGTTTTGAGAGGGAAGATAAATAGTGAGCACATTTGTGCCATAATAAAAAATGCTGAGATATATCACTCAACAAATCCAATTATTGGTTACGATAGTCGCAAGTATCCTAGCCAATTAGTCTACACCTGCATACATGGTTCAGATCGACAGTCAACAACTGAGTGGATTGATTAAATATCTTGTTTTGATTACTTGTCTCATTCCAACCTCCCACACCAGTGGTAAATATCACGCGTCGAAATAGGCGGTTTTTGAGCATACATAACATTTATCTTAACCACGATTACTGTTCAGAGGAAGAAATTCTTGATCCCAACCCGTTTCAAAATAGGTTAATATCAAAAGACTAGAATAGCTGGCCAGTAAATAAGGCCACTTCTTTCAAATAAACTGTTACACTTTACAGGAAATATTAATACGAATGAACATCATTATATTTGGGCGATTCCAAGAGTATAATAATAGAAGACAGGGACTTTGGAATAAAACGAAGACTACTATTTTCCCTAGTTTTTGTTCTTCAGATTCAATATAATAAAACTGAAATTAAACACACTATATTCAAAATGTCATTGAGTCGGGCGTGAAAAACTGTTTTCAAATAAGTTATTCATCACTGATTATAGATGATTATGTGATTACAGATGGCTGAGGTCATCTGCAACATTTCCGACGTCCAGTATAAGTGTGCTGCACCCATCATCTTCGGTAACTTATCCGTTCGTTTAGTAGATGGGTCATAAGTATCAGAGAGCAATTTACACCAACGATATGGTTTTAAGCGTTCAGATTTATCCGTAACTCTCTGCTATGAATGTCAGCCAATCGCGAAGTGATATTCCTGATGAAAAAACATAACATAAAAGAGTGAGTATAATTTATGGACGAACCAGTCAGATATGAGGCAACGGGTATTAGACTTTGGCGTGAAATTCATTCACCCATTCAGCTGAATAGCGTTCTGGCATTTTAGTTTATGTCAGTCCGTGATGAAAACCCTAAATCTAATGCCTAACCATAACCATTAACTGTAAATCACAATTCCAATTCCTCACATTGGTTTGTAACCCTCATTTAGTCCTGGTTTTATTATTTTATTTACTTATTTAAACACATAAACATTGGTACAAGGAGGCACCAAATACATATGCGCCACATAAATCATTCAATTTGTGTGATGGCTGGGATACTGCCCGGGTGCCCAGACCGAAGCAGGTGGTTTTCTTAAGAGGCCACACCCCGAGCCTTGGACCTAAAAGTCCGACCCACAAGGCAATGGAGCATCGTGTGGAGATGCAGTCTCATGGTAGCCGGTGACCAACGATTGGTCCATGCGCCATTTGCTCCCGCAGGATACTGGAGACTATGTGCACCATTGGTTTAGGATCCGGTTAAAGAGCCGGACATTCGCTTTTCGTCCTCTCAATTTCGTAAACAACACGCCCGCCACGAGAAGGCAGTGAGTAGGACTTCCCTGACAGAAGCGGTAATGAAAAAGTATACTCTAATGTGTAGCAATTACCCTTTAAATGAATAGCAAAAAGTGGCAAAATAGCTGGGTACAACAACCTTATTGAACATTGAAAATGTTGTGGATAACCTCAGCCCTACAAACGACTCCGCAGCAACCTAAATGATGTAATTTTATTTAAAACATGATGGTGACTAGTTGTTAGATGTAGGATGTGTTTCCTTCTATTCAGTACCCGTCAGCTGGATAGGCTTGCAATTCAAGGTTGACATTTACACTGAGACTAAATGTTTATGTTCAGCCATATTTAGGCTAATAGAAGTGATAAGCTGATGTTCAGAAAGCAACTAGATGTGGCAAAGCGATATTTATTCACATGAATCCAAACAGGGATGTCCCTAATGTCATAATTGAGTCCCGATGGGAATTGTTTCCTAGCGGGAAGCGTGATAATCGAAGTTCACTAGTTTATTTCCATAGTACGGCAGATATATTACTTGGAACGTTCTTGTTTGGATTCATCTGAATAAATATCAATCCATCACTTACACCTGTGTTCTAAATATGGGCGTGTCACATATTTTGGCCTAGATATCCCCGAAAATATTTGATAACATTGCTTCAAACGTCAGTTTTATCCACTATGAGAATCACTAACTTGTTCAATTAGGTATATTTGTTATTAAATGGAAAGTTAACAAGCTATTTAACTTTGAGTGTAGTAATGACTTAGGCATCCATCTATCAAAAAGTGTATGTTACAGTAAATATTTGTCCATTCTAGTCTATGAGTGTCAACAATGGGGAAAGATCAGTAGTTAATAGTTAATGATAACTTGAGCGATTATATGAATTTTTCTTTACACACTGTCGGATAGACAGTAAAATCAAACGAAAAATGATCAAGTATCGGTATATATATATATATATATATATATATATATAGTAGTAAGACAACCCGTCCAATTTCAATGATGGAAAATTGTTGAAACTTAACAGTTAAACTTCATTAGACATAAATTCACATTTGCACTTTTAGAATCCATCTCAAAACTAGACGCTAGTGATTACGTTTTTACTATTATTATTAGCAAAAAAGAAGTCTTTCTAATATGCCATTACGCCACCTCAACCTGAAATCCACTGGTCAAATTTTTTCAACCTAGACATATTTGTGATAAAAACTAGTTTCAGCATTATTATTATCCTAAGTATCTATTTCTCTGATTGAAACCAGGAAGTTGGATTTATCGAGATATAAACTTCGTGGTAACTTATGTGACTTCCAGCTTTCCGTAACATTATGAATTTTTTCTCAGACGGGTTGGAGGAAAGTCAATGATAGCACGATTATCAGCTAGTGATGATGGAAGGACATTTTCGTGGTGCTGTTTTCCATGAGTTATATAGTTTAATTGCAAGGATTTCATTGTAACTCTGAACAATATCATTACAGCTTACTACTTGTGAAAAAGGGTTCAATCACTGTACAAAAATGGAACGACACAAGGTATCACTGCTATCAATGCATGCAGAGAACCACGGGCACGAATTCAATTAGGAAAACATCAAACTTCTAGGTGCAGGAAATTCTAAGGGTCTCATAGAGTTTCGAAAGGCGTGAGATTCGAATTAATCGGCGATCAACAGACACATCATCATAGACTAAATCTACCAATCCATAGGGAAAAGATCAATCGACCACATAGTCAAAGGTTGACCGAACAAAGAAATCAACAGGAACACAAAGACAAATGAAGACAACGAGAATTACAAAGACCATCAACAACAAACAAATTCATAAGAACGAAGTGGTTTGAAACTTATGGAATAGTTGTGAAGCTTAATTCTGCATGACGTAAGCGCTGATAACGTTGTTCAGAACGACGATGTGATTCCAAGTTATCCAGCTCAAGAAATGCAACACTACCAAAACCGGTTAAATGATCTTCTTTACATGTAAACATAAAGTAAGTAAAAACTGAATATACTTACTATTTGGATGGAACACTTCAGTTAGAAATTGCATTTTTGGTGGAGACAAAGGGTAATCGGATGGGAAGTTCAAACGTACAGCAAAAACACCACCTTCAAATGGAGTACCCTCTGGTCCACTATAATATATCACATACGGAATAGAATGAAAAACTATAAAAAACTAGGAAGTTCAATAAGTAATAAGTAACTTTTACAAAGAAAACTGTCAAAAATATACATATGTACTTTTAAATACGACTCATAAGTGAACAATTATTGAATTTAAATTTGATAATTCAGTTAACAGAATAATAATAATAATAATAATAATAATAATAATAATAATAATAAGCCATATTTCAACCGATTAATTACAGATTTACGTACTCAGCTTAATTTTAAACTGTTGATGACACTATATTTAGCTTCCCTACCCAAAGTACTTGGATCAGGGTTTGGACTTATGACCTATTAGTTGAAGGTCAAGTCACTTAGTCACTAAGCCATCAACATCATATTTAATAAGAAAAAGAGAATTCAGCGAAGAAAATCTTTTCGACGAAATGATACAGCGAGGACCATAAGAAGTCCATAACTAATTTATAACAGAATGAATGCGTAAGGTGCACTGAACTTGTGTACTGATGACTTAAATATTCAACAATAAAAAGTTAAATGAATTTTTAGCTATTTCGCTACAATTATTTAGAACTGGACACTCAGTACCACATAGTTAGTTTTTATCAAAATGTAGTTACCAAATGCTATTACATTATCTCACTTAATCTTCCTTATTAATTTAAGTATACATTAACTCACGCAATTAATGCTTCCCACTCAAAAAAATTCCTTTCATCCACTGGTCCAGCAACAATCCCCTCTGGTGGATTGACTGTTAATTCTAAAACGGAGGAGCGAGTAATATAAATCAGAACGTGAGATAATATGATGTAATTAATTTACCAAGTATATGTTTATTTATTAAGTTTTGAGTCACATTTCAGGCGTGATTATTGACACTAATGGGCTGCCTAAGTCGAAGTAGGTGACATATGTTGCAAACCTGAAATATATGGGCTAAAATAACAGTAATTTAACCACTAACTTGATGTTTCACAGACTTCATCATACGAGATCATTTTAAATGTATATTCGTATCTACTTTTTAAGAGAGAATTTCATTTACATGATGATACCGACTTAAACTTTCACAACACCTATCAAATCGCACAGTTAGTCCTACACAATATCGAACATATGTCTGATTCGGACAAAACAAGTTGGTAACAACAATATATGGGGTGGAGAATAAGCATTACCGATTTTTTTTGAGGACGTACTTCACGAAATGTAAAAGATTAGACATGTTTATAGGTAATTATTATTGACGACCAGCAACTCATGTTCTTCACATGCTACATTTGGGTAGTGAATAGAGCAATTAGAAGCAATTACAGCGATTGAGAGCCACTAAGACAGATTTATGAAAAGCTTGCTTCAGAAGCGCACAGTATATGCCTAAGATATGTGTAAGGTGGATCAATTATGATCCACCTCTTTTATATAAGAGAGTTGAGAACCAGCTTTCGACAATAATAATAATAAAGGCACAAAAACCAAGATTACATCTTCGCTTGTTTAGAGTGAAAGACGGTTGTGAGGACTACAATTTGACTTAATGGGGCACCAGTTAGATAATAGAGGTCATACAACTAAAGATGTTCAGTTGGTCCTCCAAAATGTACACATGACATGGCTTGTTTTAAGCTAGTCCAACAAAATTATAGCGACTGAAAATTTGAGAATATTAGTAATTAACTGAAACGCACGTTTGTACTCTGCCATGAGTCTTTTCAAAGCATTGCCTGCCATCCTAAAGCAACGTGTAGGCAGAATGTAGCGCCAACAAAATGCACTTTCAATATCCTTGTAACGATAGACTTACTGAGCACTAACACATCCCTCATGGTGCTATGGCAGAAAAACTTGGAAACTCACTAGAAAGTCAAAATTTTGGTGTTTTACTTGTTAAGTAACATTGAGAGTAGTTTTAAAGGGCCATTAGATATATTGTTCTTCCTTTCTACAAGGAGAGTGCAGTCTTTACGCACACGTAGATGTTTAACTAAATCACCCTAATTACATTTTGGATAGTGACTTCAGACCAGTTTAAAGGCTTGTGCTGGGATATGGTAGAAAACAGAAGTTCTAATGTCCAGTGGTCTTTGATGAAACGGAGGATGCTGATTGTTGTGATCTGGGCTACCTATGCGTGCCATCTAGATATTTCAACAAGTGCAATTTTGAAAAGTGTACAACCTTTCGCTGTCAAAGTTCCAAGGAGCCCAATAAGAGATATTGTGGTCACTGGCAATATGCAACGAAAAGTATATACGCTATTCAAATGTTCATTTACTGGACTGCTAACATCTAACTGGCGATCACTCAATATTTATCGGCAGAATCGACCAAGAGGTATGGAACGGAAACTTTTTGAAATGCTTTGTGCCGAGAATTCTATACTGTATCAAAAATATAATATTGACTAAAGCCGATAATAATAAGCATTCTTACTTTTAGGTAGCGGTCTATTTTAACGAGATACTCAAAACTTCGATTGTTTACTATGCTATCGATGAGATACAACGTAATGACCTTCTACACCATGCAGGAAAGCCTAATATGGTAGCTGATGATCGTGCGATAAATATGCTTGTCTTAAATGGAGTAGAATTATCATGTGTACTTAATCAAGGCGTTGAATACTTCTGATAAAACATTCGACTGTATTTCAATCAGGTATCTGGGATTATATATATGCACATGGAAGTACTTTTATTCATAAATAAACATTGGTTCAATTGAGATAATAATAATCGAAAACAGAGTTGATACATGGTTATATCAATCAAGTGTAAGATTTTGTTGCTACTGCTTCGACAAACCGAAGAGACGCTGTGTTTCTTGTCTCCTAATGAATTTTAAAGCTTATGGAGTGCCAGTAGTATACTCATTTAGAGACCTACGTCTGTCACTCCTTGTGGCTGAGCACAGCTCGCTCACCAGGATTTCTGAGCAAACTCTCCCAGGCAATCCTTTCAGTGTTGCTCCTTGCAGCTACTCATTCTTTTCGTCTGTGCAGCCGATTCCCGACTCAATATGTTCGGTGGTCTTCTAGTAGCTTGCCTCCATAATAATTCCTTAGGCTTCGTGTATCAATCACTCTGATAACTATCATTAAATAAATGTTAACGGTGTATGAGTTCAGAAAGCAATACGAAGCGCCGACTATATTTTATCACTGAATAGCGCGCAAGCAGGCAATTACAAAGGAAGAGTCAGAGTCAAATAGAATCGAAGTGAAGAAACTATTAAGATATATATATATATATATATATATATATATATATATGGGAAAGGGAATGATAAGTTCAATAGTTGAGATCATGAGTCGATTGAATCTAGACCACCATGGAAAACCTGGAAGCACTGGAAGGCCATTTCGTCCTATCGTGGTACTTCTCAACAGTGCGCATCCACGATCCCACCTCGTGAAATTTCAACCCAAGACCTATTGATCTCGTGCGCGGACGCTTAACATCTAGGTCAACTAGTCCATGAAATTGAGCAACATACCCACCATTGTCTTCAGTAAGTTACTATCTGACAACAGACCCAGTTGAACTTCACTGGTCACTGCGTCTCACTAGAACTCCAGGAAATACCTCTTGAAACCAGTCGCTAGTGAGCATATGTTGAGTAATATCAGAAGGGGTTTTTGTGGATATTATAGTAGTTTTTTAATAGTTGAGATCATGAGTCAGTTGAAGCTAGACCACCATGGAAAACCTGGAAGCACTGGAAGGCCATTTCGTCCTGTTGTGAGGCTCCTCAGCAGTGAGGGACCGTGGATGCTCTCTATTGTCCCACCACATGTGCTTCTTCGAAACACTAGCAAAAAATCTCACACTTGATCCATGTATCCTGAATGCGACAAAAATCAACCTTTTACGGCATTGGTCAATTATTATTTTTCGTTATTATAATTATTGCTAATTGCAGCTTTTGTTACGCGGTCTTCGCCGAACTAATTGTTATTTTTGTATATTCCAAACTTATCTCTTATTATTATTATTATTATTATTATTATTATTCACAAACATCTTATGGGTACATAAGTGTTGTGAAGAAACCATTTCGGGTTTCTTCAGAAAATGCAATTATACACAATTCTCAATAATGTTAGCATTATACTTGCCATATTTAAAAAAATAATAATAATGAAAATAAAATAGATAATTGAGAATAATAATAGTAGAGTATTAATAATAATAAATGGGGTCTTTGTAATTGAGAAGAATATTGAATTGGGTTTAAAGAAGGAAATGGAGAAAATAAGGGAATAGAAATAAAGGAGACATGAAATACGCAAACAGTCTAATAGGCGTGTTCATGAACACAGAACAAGAATAAACGACTATGTGTCTATCGTTAAATTAGTAACAAAAAATAATTAAGAAAAAATAACTTATAATTGCAGTAAGATATGACGCTAGAATATAAATGTCTGTGCAGTCACATAGTTTGGAGTGATGCTATGAAAGTCTCAATTAAATGAAAAAGGTAATAAAATATCTATGTGTATGAGTAGTCATATATGCATAGTGAAGATAAAACACAAGTTATTGTCTTAATTAAAAACTTCGTAGTCTTAAGAATATTTATTTAGAGGGAAAGAAAAGAGAAAAGAAGTGAACACCTAGTGAAAAGTTTTGATCCATGATAAGAATAATAATTGTGTAATGAATATCAACCTCAGAAGGAAACCAACAATTTAGAAAAATGAAATAAAAATCCTTCAATGCACTCGGATGAATACATTTAGATTTATGTAATAATATACAGAGTGAAAGCGAACATTAGTATAAACAATTGTTCAATAATAATTAGGATTGATGCTATGAAAGTCAAAATTGATTTCAAAGGACAATTTGGAGTTAAATATGTTTAGAAGGGTAAGAAGATACAAAAAGAATATCTAATGTGTCGGGGAACTAATAATGATATTAATAACGGTAATAATGATAAAACACGAACATAATCAGACTTCATATATTAAGATAAAGAGAAATAAAACAAAATAGACGTGAAAAGATTTAAAGGTTTTATTTTGCTTTTCAAGCAATTAAATAAATGACGGACCTTGTTTGTATAAATCTTTATTGAATACATTGATATTCAATAGGTGGCATAATCCACTTTCGGAAAGAAAATCGTCAAGGAGACTTTTGAACCGGGTTGTAGTTTCACTGCAACGGAGGTTCACTGGCAGTCTGTTCCACATGGTTGAGTAGCGAATAAGGAAAAAATTCTGACGTAAGTTTGTGTGGGTTCTTGGAATCGCTAGAATATTCTCCTTATTGCGTAGATTGTGGGACGATATTATAAGGTATGAAGGGGTAGATACCGATGAGTAGGAAATACCGTTAATGAGCCGGTAGATAAAGACAAGATTTAATTTGATACGTCTGATCCAAAGAGGTTCTAAGTTGAGTTGTTGACATCTTTGGTAGTAGTCTTTGTTATCGGAATACCCCAGAAGAGCTTTGGTGAACTTTTTTTGAACACCTTCAATTCTAATCAGATCATTATGTCTACAATTACTGTAAACTAAAATACCATATTCAAGAATGGGCAAGACACATTTTCTGTATAGTAACAATCTCGATTCGATATTATTGAAGTTTATCATTATCAATCCGATGAGCTTTCTAGCTTTGGATACTTGAGATATAATGTGTTCAGAAAAGTTCGGACTATTGCTATATCTTAAACCCAGGTCACGAACAGTGTTGAGAGGTTTGAGTGTATGTGTCTGTACAGTCAGATTTAAGTTAAGACAGCGACCAATGTGAATAAATCCGCTTTTGTCAACATTAAGTGGCATATTCCACGAAATAGTCCATTCGTACAACTTGTTTATTTCCTCCTGGATTATCGCAGAAATATAGCTTTCTTTCGTGGGAGAAGAGAATGAATAAACTACTTTCAGGTCATCAGCAAAAAGGAAAGGCTTACCATACTGAAAGAGGGAACACACATCATTGATAAAAAGGAGAAAGAGCAATGGACCAACCACACTTCCTTGTATAACCCCACTGGTTACATTTACAGGTTTAGAGTAGCAAGATCCATAGCGAACGATTTGGCTACGTTCTTCTAAAAAAGATTTGAGCCAAGATAAAAGGGGATTCTGTATGCCAAATGAAGAGAGTTTTAAAAGAAGAAGTTTGTGTGAGACACTGTCGAAAGCTTTACTAAAATCGAAGTAAAGAATTATCACTGACTGACCAACATCTCTTCTCTGGGTAATTTGATCAAAAAACTCCAGGTGCGATGTGAAACATGAGCGTTTAGTCATGAACCCGTGTTGGGATGGGCTGATCAGACTAGCTGAAAGTAAAAATGATAGTAGCTGTTTGTGAATGATTTTTTCCATGGTTCTTGAGAGCACGGATGTCAAATTAATTGGCCTATAGTTAATAATATCACTACGTGGTCCTGTTTTGAATCTAGGGGTGATAAGGGATGTTTTCCATGCAGATGGATAGGTCCCATATTCCATAGACAGATTGAAAAGTTTCAAACAAAATAGTGGAAATTCTTTACTTCCATATTTCACAAATGATGTAGGTATCCCGTCAGGTCCACCATCATAAGACTTTTTCAGGGTAGTTATGGCCTGCTTGATGTTGGAGGGTGTGAAATCAATTTTCGACAGATGTCTGGATGTTAGCATTGGAAATGAAATGATGGAGCTTTCAGTTCTAGTCTTGTAGCACTGCGAGAATTTCTTGCTGAATTGTTCGCATATAGTATTCGGGTCGTTAACAATGCTTCCG